TTCTTCATTGTGCAGCAGTGGTACCCCTATCAAAGAGCCTCTGGCCATTTGGCAAGGGTTTATTTCTAGGATGTAACTTCCACTGGTCTTTATGCTGGTACCCTGTCATTTTCATTGCCGTAGCCCTGTAATGTTTTGAAATCAGGAAGCATGAAGTCCATTGTTTTGCTTTTCTTTCTCAACATTGTTTTGGCTATTTGGAGTTTTCTGCAGTTTTAATTTTAGTACTTTTATATTTATGGATAAATGCTGTTGATATTTTGATGAACTGAATTTGTATTGCATTGAATTTTTATTTGCATTTTTTTATTTTTTGTTTTTTTTTCTGGTACCGGCAATCAAACTCACGACCTTGAGCTTTCTAGGCAGGTGCTGTGCTGCTGAGCTAAATCCCCAGCCCCTGTATTGCATTGAATTTGAAGGTTGCCCTGAGTAGTGTGGATATTTTAATGATTTGTCTTCATCCTGTGAACTTGGGACACCACCCTACTTATTTACATCTTAATTTCTATCAGCAATATTTTATAGTGTTAAGTATACAATTTTTTGCTTCTTTGGTTACATGTATTTTGAAATTTTTATTCTTTTTGATGCTACCATAGATGGAATTGTTACCACTGTATTTTTTTGGTGGAATTATTACCTTAATTTCTTTTCTAGATGATTTATTATTAGTGGATAGAAGGCAAATTTCTGTGTGTTTTGATTTCTGTGTGTTGGTATTATATCATGCAACTTTGCTGAATTCATTTACTACTTCTAATAGCACACACGTATGTGTGTGTGTGTGTATGTAATCTTTAAGGATTTTTGTACATAAGTTGATGTCATCTGTAAAAAGTGATAATTTTACTTTTTTCTTTCCAAATTGGATGCATTTAATTTTCTTGTCTTGCCTAATTTCTTTTTTACGGACTCTTCATACTATTTCAAACAGAAACTGAGAGGTGTATGCACTGTTTTCTTGATCTTAAAAAAAGCTTTCAGTTTTGCATTATTGAGTCTGATACAGCTGTGGGCTTCCCATATATGGCCTGTGTTATATAAAAGTTATTTCCTTCTATTCCTAGTTGAGTGTTTTTTCTTCCAGTCATGAAAACATGTGAATTTCATCAGATGCAGTTGTTGATTAGTTTATATGATCAGTGGTTCCCCCTTATTCTGTTTCTGTGGTATGTCATATGCTTAATTTTTGTACATTGAACCATCCTTGCATGTCATGAATACTTCCCACTTGGTTATGTGTACAATTCTCTTGATATGCCTTTAAATTTGTTTTGCTATTTTTTTTGTTGAGATTTTTTGCATCAATGTTTATCAAGGATATTGGACTATAACTTTTTTTCTTGTAGTATCTTTGCTTCATTTAATTTCAGGGTAATGCTGGCCTCTTAAACTAGGTTTGGAACTGTTCTCCTCTCTTCACTTGCTTTGTAAGAGTTTGAGAGGGATTTATGTTATTCTTTAAATATTTTGCAGAACTTTTCAATGTAACTATCTGATCCTGGGCTTTATTTTGTTAGGAGGTTTTTGATTACTGCTCTTTAAACTCTATTGTAGTTGTAAGTCTGCTAAGATTTTTAATTTTTAACAATTCAGTCTAGGTAGGCTGTACATTTCTGGAAATTTATATAATTTTATAGGCTGTCCAATTATGAGTGTCTTCCTGTCCTCAAGCCGCCCAGGTCTTGTGGAGTCTTGTTAGTCTTCCTAACCTCCCCACTGTGCAGATGCCGTGCAAGCTGCTTCCCGGGCTCAATTTGTTCTCATTTCCTCCTGCCCCCTCCGGGCAGAGTCAAACTGCCCCTGAGGATTTGAGAACAATGTAGACGCATTTGGGCTTTTAGGATAACATGATTTAAAAAGTTGCATGTGAAAATCTGACATAGACTTCACCACCAGAGAGAAAGATGCCTTTGGCTTTCATTCACACTGATGCTGGATGCTTTCAGATGCTGTAATTCACCTCAAAGCCTTCTTTTTAACTTTCAAACCCTAGCAGTGAGATATAAATTATAATAGTAACCCAATCTCTCTAGATTAAATGTGTTTCAGTTTCTTAAACCAAATGGAATTTCCTGTGATCTGTGCTACATCACTCGCAATATCAAAGAGTATGCTCTGAAGCTCAGTACAAGAAAAATAACAGTTTCCCATGCAGATGTTGGGATTGGCTAGTGCCTTTCCCTTGGGCCTCTTTCGAGAAAATTGGTCATCCATACCAATCTCCTTTGGCTACTCAGAGGAGGTGAATGCTGCATCAAGAGACACCGGTCCCCATTCAGTTAGCAGAGCTCAAAGGTATAAACACTGGCAAACCCAGGGGCTGAGTCCAGTGGCTGGACAGGTGAAGACACCTTTGGCTGGTGACTCAGAGAGGCAAGAACGTAGCAAAACCAGACGCAGCAGCAAGGAGCCCTCTGCTCTCAAAGTGGGCAGACTATTTCCTGGGATGTGAATACCCACTGCTGAAGAAAGGTGGTACAAAACCTATGTCTGATAAATTCTGGATTAAAATACAACCTGTTTCTGAATATCATTTCTTTGCTGATGGAAGCTGCCTTTAATGTATATTGTTGCTCTTCCAGAAGGAGGTGCCCCCCCATGCTTTTTCAAACTCCTAATGAGTGTCCCATGGGCGGGATTACTTGGGAAATGCTGTCAAAACCTGCCTGCTTGGAATTCACTCACCTCCCTTTGTGCGTCAGCCTTCAGTGAACGGCTTTGCCCCGTGAACCCGCAGGTGGCTGGCAGGAGAGGTGTTGGGTTGCGATTCTCATGGTATAGATGGGGAAGCTGAGGCTTAGCAGAACTCAGTGACCTTCCCAAGGGAGGATGTGGTGGATCCAGGATTCACGTTTATCTGACCCCAAGCAGCTTTCATTTCCTCGCCTTGCTGACTCCTTTTCTGATTCCAAAAATGCCCACATTGAGGCTACTGAACTTGACTGAAGTGTGACCGAGAACCACGGCATTGCCATGAGGGAATGAAAGGTTTTTCTTCTTATCCGCTCCTCTTATTACCTGCAGATTGGGAGATGCCTTTTGAGTCCCAAGGTCTCGCTGAATACCTGCGTGCTCTGAGCCTCAATTTCTTCACAATAAGTGTAGAGATCAGTACCCATCTGCAAGGGTCATGCTGGGGTAATAAAATCAGTTGTCAGGAAGTGCCATACACTAGGTATAGACAACTTGGACATCAGAAGGTCAAAAACAGTGTGATCAAATTTTGACCTACTGGAGTGGCCAATGCCCTTCCTTAGGACTGTTACCCAAACTCCCAACCAGGGAGCCCTTGACCAGGCCACTCTAGATCAGTCTGGGATGGGACGGCCACTTTCACCACAGCTGCAGCCAGTATCAGAGACACGGGTTACCGCGGAACAGTGCAAAATGGAGACGTGGGACCCCTCCTCCAAAAGTGATTAAGAATTCCAGGACAGCAACAACCCAAGCGTGGGCCTTTCCGTATGCAAGGTCCTGTGGCAGCCCCCTCACAGCTGAAGATAAAGTCAGGGGATGGCAGCCTCGGGCTCAGAGCGGGTGGAAAGGGGTGCTGTCTGACAAGGGGACATCACCTGACCAGAGGACCCAGGCGGCTTTCTGCAGGGCTCCTGAGGTTGCCTGGGCCCAGGATGGGGGTGAGGAGGCGCGAGGCTGCTGTGCTGCCCTGAGGTGGGAAGAGAAGGTTCCACCGGCGGGGAAGAGGTCTGATGGCTTGGGGCACTCGGACCTGCGCTTGGCTGCCTGGATGACATGCTGGTAGCCGCTGGCCGGTGCACAGTGTGGGAGACCGAGCAGCAAGCACCTAGCCTCGGCCTGCATTTACAGGCAGTTACCTCTCCCGGGCTCCTCCTACTGTGTGAGCAGAGGCTGCCATTCAGTAGGGCAAGTGGTAAATAGTAAGAGAGAGAGATAGGGCTGGTGGGAAGGGGCCTCACTGCCTGGTGGCTGGGCACACGCTGTGAACTGGGCACAGCCTGTCCTCTCCCAGACGGAGCCCCTCCTCTGCACTCCTTTAGATGTGACTGACACACACCGAAGCTGGCTGTCGCACGCCTGCCACCTGTGCCAGCAGCGCCCCTGCTGCCGAGCCCTTGCGTCCCACTAGTCACTCAGAAACGAGCCATTTCCAAGTTGATGCCCGCCTCAGTGCAGAAGGCAAAAGGGCTAAATTGTAAGGTACTTAACAGTGGCTGGGTAATAGTCACTAGATGCAAAGGGTCTCATGTGTATTTAAGTAAGGCTCCCTCTCCTAACAGGCATAGACCTTTGGTTCATTAGTAATTTGAGTAGAGAAAGAGAATGTTTTCAGATCATGGTGAAATGACTGAGTGTCCATGAAGACTGCGGTTGTGCTCTTCACACTGTGTTCGAGAACGTCCAGCCAGGAGGGGAGCAGCTCCACCCGGGCCTCTCCTTAAGCAGACGGCAGCATTTCTCCCCTGTTCTTTTCCCTCCGGCTTCCCTCCCTTTCTCATCTGTGTGTCCTGTACACATGTGTGTGTGTTTGTGTTTGTACCTGTGAATTTCTGCCCTGTATCAACGATCAGGATACATCTAGAGAAATGCAACATTGGCCGTTTTTGTCATATGTGAACATCATAAAGCACGCTTACACAAATTAGATGGCCGTGGTATTACAAGGTGATGTAATCTTACGGGTTCAGCTTTATACGCTGTGTCTGTCACTGACTAAAATGTCATCATGTGATGTGTGATTGCATATCAGTTTTATCTGTCTATCTATCATCTCTCTGTCTGTCTATCATCTATCATCTATCTATTGATTGATCAGTTTATCCACCCACCCACCCATCCATCCATCCATCCAACGTACCTATGGCCTTATTTTTCATCTATCTGTTTGATGCAGGTTTAAAGAGTGACTCAGGCACAGAGTTCCCTCAGAAGCCTAAGAAAGACACAGGAAGCATCTCATTTTGAGGACGTTTGCAGCACAAGAGTGTCACTGTCTTCTGTTCCATTTTCTCTCTTAGGTTCAAACTTGGTGCTTAAACAAATTCAGAATGAGGAAACATCGACATTTGCCCTTGGTGGCCACCTTCTGCCTCTTTCTCTCAGGCTTTTCCACGACGTATGCACAAGCAGGTAAGGTCCAGAAATGCCCCTCATTTTATACGAAAGGACAGAATTCTTTGATTCTAGATCTTAGATCTTAGACCCCATGGGCTGGACATAGAGCTTAGATCAAGTTCCTGGGATTTGTTGGTCTTTGAGAAGCAAAAAAAATAGGGAGACAACAACTACTGAGATTAAAAATACTTTTCCCTGCAAAACAAAACAAAACAAAACAAAACAGAACAAAGATCACCCTCTTTAGATAACTCTAGGTACAAAAAGACATTTTGCACCCAGAGTCACTGGATCCTTAAAAATTCTGTTTCCCAAAATGACTTAAAGGAGTCGACCCTAAGAACCCTATTAAGAATTTGCTTTCAGAGTTTCAGGACAGGGAGAGAAGCTTCATGCATGGTAAGGGGGAGTTCATGCAGGTCCCTCTCTTTGCCTGGAGAATGGGGTCTCCACGGAGCTTCCTCCGGCCCATTGGGCTGCTCTAGAAGGTGGGGGCTGCTGGCACAGGAACTGGGTTGGAGCCTCAGATTGGCCCGAGGTAAGTAGAGGCCTGGAGCCAGCCCAGGCCGAGGTTCTGCGGGGCTCCTTCAGGCCCCGATGGCTCTCTTCCTGGAGCTCCCATGTGTGAGGGAAACTTCTGGGAATGAGATCAGCTCCATCCAGTGTCCATGAAGACTTTCCTGGCACTGAAGACCATGCAGTAACTACTGTAGTTCAAAAACTAGTTACGCTCAAAAATTGAGGTAAAAGGAGACTTTCCTCCAGTCTACAGTTACATAGGTCTTTCTCGAAGAAGATGTACTTATTATATCTTAACAATTATGGAGCTGGGAGTATAGCTCAGCGGCAGAGCACCTGTCTGGCAAGTGCAAGCTCCTGAGTTCAATTCCTGAACAGCCCCCCAAAAGAAAATTACTCAAAGTGTCAGGGGTTAGTTCTCATAAAATAGCAGCAGTGGTCGTGTTTCCATCTTGTTGAGGCTCAGTGTCATACTCCAAAGTAGAGTGAGTTTCTGAGATGATGGTCACCAGCTATAAGAGAATGCCCTGGTCTGGTCAAGGGGGTCTTGGGGGTCAGACTGCAGCAAGGAATCATGCTTGAGTTCAAGACACCCTGGGGGGTTTTCTCCACTCTGGAGCACATGTCTGGTCCCTGAGTGGTGGTCACCAAAAATGGAACTTGGGCCACGGCTGAGCACGGCCAGCTGCTGGGTCCTTGTGCCTGGGTCCCGCTCCTCAGGTAAGTCGGCCTTCCTGTCCACCCTGCAAGTGAGGTGTGAATATTCATGAGCTGAGAGTAATCTGAGTTTGGGCTGGAAGCTTTTGCATTGGTAGGAAGTAATTTCTTGAACAGTAGAAAAATCTAAACCACTGTCTTTTTTTAAAGATGTCAAAAATGGTGCCGCTGCCGATATAATATTTCTAGTGGATTCCTCTTGGAGCATTACAAAGGAACATTTCCAACTGGTTCGAGAATTTCTGTATGATGTTATAGAATCTTTAGCTGTGGGAGAAAATGATTTTCATTTTGCTCTGGTCCGGTTCAACGGAGACCCACATACTGAGTTCCTGTTAAATACGTATCGTACTAAACAAGAAGTCCTTTCCCATATTTCCAACATGTCCTATATCGGGGCCAGCAATCAGACCGGAAAAGGATTAGAGTACGTAATTCAGAAGCACCTCACTGAGGCTGCCGGAAGCCGGGCCGCAGCCGGAGTCCCCCAGGTTATCGTAGTGTTAACCAGTGGACCCTCGGAGGACGGCTTCGCTCTGCCCTCAGCGGAACTTAAGTCAGCTGGCCTTAACGTGTTTGCAGTTGGAGTTGAGGATGCAGATGAAGGAGCCCTAAGAGAAATAGCAAGTGAACCACTCAATATGCATGTTTTCAACCTAGAGAACTTTACCTCCCTTCATGACATAGTGGGAAACTTAGTGTCCTGTGTGCACTCATCCCTGAGTCCTTCGAGGGCTGGGGACACGGAGACCCTTAAGGACATCACAGGTAATGGCTCCCTGCCAGGCTGCTCCCTGCTGTGCTATTCTGTGCAGATAGCCGAGCTTGGCCCCTGCTGACCTTAAAGCAATAGCGCGGCTAAGAGAGGGTGGGGCATAGGGAAGAGATGAATATTCGCAGGTTTAAAAACAAAGGTTTGAATATCCTTGGGTGGTCTCTTTCTCTAACCCAGCATGCGTCCACATCCAGGAGGAGGGCTTGGCTTTGGAAACACCAAGTATCTGAGCTCTGAAAGCCACGTTTTGGTATCGTCCATCCCTTGCTTAAGAAAGAAAGCCTCTGCCTGTGAGGTGGGCGTCTAATGATCCCTCTCATCTGCTGGGGCGACAGAGGCCCTCACTGCTTCGGTGAAGGCTCCTCATCAGGAAGCACATGGGACAGGGGAAGAGGCCAGCCACTTTTGTGACCAGCTGAATGGCAGACAGCGGCTCTCTTCTGCTCTATGGAATTTGTTTCAGAGAATTGATAGAATCAGAGTTGTGAGAAAGCTGAGCTGTGATCGAGTCCAAGGCTGGGAGCAATGGAGTCCTAGGGGGTAGGCAGGTTGGCGACAGGCAGCTGGCACAGGAGCCCTGGGTCTGGACCACTCGCAGGTCCTGCCGTGGCTGCACCTGCAGACTCCCCGGTCCCGAGGCACCCGGAATGCACTGACAGTGCGTACTTATCAACCATCCCAGCCACCAGCTCGCCGGCTAGCACCCAGCGCCTGCGACTCTGACAGGAAGGAATTCCATGAGTCTCACAGCGCAGCAATCTGGACGTGGCCAGGGCTAGCTTTCCCTCAGCGATGGGCAGGATGCAGGGACACCCTGCGTTAGTACACGAGCCCACACCTGCTTGGCAGCTGTAGCTGGGTCTGCCGGGTCAAAAAGGCAGGGAGTTAGGGGAAGCCGAGGTGAGAGGAGAGGGGTCCTCCAAGGTGGGGGGCAGGCACCGGGAACTGTGTCTCTCAAGATGTAGCATGGACAAGAAGGAAGTTGCGAAAGCCCAAGGGTGTTGGCATTGGTCACCTGGATAAAGGAGGTGGCCAAGGCGGGCCTCACTTGGGCCTGGGAGCAGAAAGCTTGGAGCTGTTTTGGAGCAGCTGCTGCAGGGGGGCGACAAGGGCCACACCATGTTCAGGAAGCAGCTGCTGGCCTGCAGCAGTGTCCGGTGCTGCCCGCAATGGCCAGCTATGACCGTCGCCTGTTAGTTGTGTCCCGACTTTCTGCAGCCATCACAGGCTCTCCCAGGACCTGGGACTTAGCAGACTTGGAACTTGCAAAGGGAAAGATGGAGCTGTGGTGGGAATCACAGGGCAGGTGTAGGGAAATAGTACAGTACCAGCATGAATTTTCTAATAGGGATTCAGAAAGCAGGAAGTGGGGAGAGATGGCTAGATATCAACAGAAGGGGGCCAGCTGCGAGGCACAGGTAGAGCATGTAAGATAAAGGGCTAGGAACCCGTCACCTCGTGGTGCTCTAGAGGGTGCCATGCAGTGGCTCCCCAGGGTTCTAGCTTGAGGGCGGTGGGAGAGCCCTCCCCTCCCTGGCAGGGCTATCCCGGTGGGAAGGATGGGAGCTGGCCGGGGCAATGTATCTTCAGCACTGGAAGTGTCCCCTGCTTCCAAATGCTGTTGCTGTCCCCTGGCATGGTCATGTAAGTACCAGCCTCGCCCAATGACAGGTGGGAACAGTGGGTGTCCGCAAGGTTCCCCAGGTCCCACGCCCCTGGAAGGGATGGGCGGGCCTCCTGAACGTCCCACTCTGTTCAGCACTGCAGTCTCAGCTTTGACAGCTCACCCAACTCTCCCCTTTTGGAACACAGGGGCGACAGCGGTGGTGGGGTCGCAGGAGAAAGAGGCCGCCTTCTTGTCATGCAGATCTTGGCAAACTGGAGAAAGAGAACAGACAAGTTTGCCTCCACGTTTAGTCATTAGGTAGATGACAGAACGGAGCTCACCGTCACAAACGCAGACAAGGCTACGGCCTCGCGCCACTCCACGTGGATGACGAAACCTTTGTTTTTACGCCAAGAAAGCATCTCTGTGTTCTAGCAGCAGCAGGGTCGAGTATTAACCCGTTTGTTGTCTTTTCCGATTAACCGCACGGTGCCGGCCCTCTGGTGGCCTGTCCCACTGCATGTCCCACAGCAACACAGTCCTGCAAGATACACGTGGAATAGAGCCAGAATGGCCAGTCTGTGCTGCTCGCTTCTGGGAGGGATCTGGGGAGTGCGCGGGGAGGCTGCTGAGGGTTAGGCCTTCCCTCTCAGTGCCTGTGCACAGGGCACTTGTACCTGCAGGGGGCTGTTGGTCGGGAAAGGAGAATTTGTTCCAGATAAAATGCAAGTCATTGCCATCTTTCAGACTCAGTAACCAGTCTCTACAGTGGTTGTATTTAAAAAAGAAATCCGTCTCTGCTTTCCAAACAGAGATAACTAAGATACGAAATCTTTATTCTAAAACGAAAGCTAAGGGCTGGGGAGATAGCTCAGTGGCACAGCACTGGTAAGCGCAAGATCCTGAGTTCGATTTCCAGTAACAAAAAGAAAAAAAGAAAAAAAGAAAAGGAAACAAAACAGAAAGCTAAGCCAGGTATGGTGGCACATGCCCATCATCCCAGCTCTGGGGAGGCTGAGGCAAGAGGATTGCTGTGAGTTTGAGGCCAGTCTGGGTTACATAGTAAGACTATCTCGAAAAACCAAAGATGAAAATAAAAAAAAAATAAAAAGAAAGAAAGAAAAAGACAGTAGGACCTCAGCATACACTTTCTTTTCTTTCTGTGAAATATTCCAAAGTTTGTGTTTTGCACAGGAAATGAGAATGCACTATTTTTCTTAACAAAGGGAAACACCACGTGGGCTGAGGAAGGCGTCTCGTCCACACTGCATGTTCAGGAAAGTGGTGTTTCTAGTGCTGCTCAGGGAGCCTGGCAGTTTCCCTTGGAGCCGGTGACACTTTTCCATAGAAAATGCCATGGAGGGTGTGAGGCACGCGTCACAAAAGCGGAAACCCAGACAACTTCCACCCCTCCCAGTCTAGCGAGATCTGCTGTTATGGAGCGAATCCGGTCGCTGGTTTGCCTGCTGTGCGCAGGGTCCGCAGCTTCGGGTCTGCGAGGCTTCGGCTCTGCTGGAATAACAACGCATGCTCTGTGTGTCCCATGATTGTGTGGAAAACGACGGTGTTTTTAATTCAGTGATGACAAATTATCCAACGTGCTTTTATGACCTGCTGCTGTAGGCGTTCAGCCTCTTAGAAACGTTCACAGACTTCCCCTTAGCGTTCGTTTATCTTATTTATGCTATTCCAAACTGTAGCCCAAAACTAATTAACACATGAGGAGGAAATAGTGTTATGCTAGGACTTAGTTTTTATTGGCCATGTCGATTGTAGTTCCTACCTTGGTTTAGCTCCGGAAACTGGAGGAGTTTTGTGCTGTGGTCTGTAGAGCCTCCACCTCACCCATGATGCCAGTGTCTGTGGCTCGCTTTGTCCTTCATCCTCCCTGGCTCTGAAGAGGGGCAGAGACTTTGGAGTTCTGAGAAAGACACAGTCTTATTTGGGAAGTCTGCTATGATTATGAAAAACATAAGATCTTACTTACTGTAGCAAAGCAATTATCCCTCCTGTGTCTTATGAGGAGGACTGGGATAGCCGTGTCTCTGAGTCAAGCCCCTTTGTTCTGTAAGGCATTAACTGGCAACGCTGTTGGGGGCTGTTGTTCATTTAGGAGAGAGAGAAGAGTTCCCAAAGGGACAGCTTGCACAAGAAGTCTCTTCTCTAGAGCAAAATGCTTCAGTTTTATGAAAGGAGAGTCGAATCCTTTACCACAGTGAAAGTAAAAATAATTTAGCTGGCATTTAAAAACATCTTAGATGTCAAGTGTTCCTTGACATTAAGATAAGAATGAATGGTTTTACGTAAATATTGCCCAAATAGATCTTTCTAGAACCCCAGAAGTTTTGCACAAGTAATCTCTTTATGTCTCTGCACACAGTGAAGGTATTAAAATATTCATGAGGAATGATTTCTTTTTTTTTTTTTTTTTTTTTGCCAGTTTAACCCAATCTGACATAAGTGTTCTCACTGAGCCTTTGTAATATTCTGCCCTGGTTTATAGACTCAGGGATTGCTCTTCACTGTTCAGAGCTTTTGTGAAAGCTTCATTCTTGGTAACCGGAGGGAAGTTTCATGCTCACCATTATGGGGAGGAAAAGGAGGCGTGGTCAGCCTTTTTCACGTCCCTTATGCCACTCTAGAACTACTGCTAATGAAGCTGCTGGGTCCTGCTAGGTAATCTGCTTGGATGTCATAAAAATAAGGTTGGATAATTATGTCATGACTGGTTTCATATCACTCTGCTTAACACTGTTCTGCATTATATGACTGAATATAGAGGCAAGGGTGAAAGCAAATTAAAAAAATACCACCTAATCCCACACCTGCATTCAGCATTTCACACAACTCAATAGCACGTGAGAAGAAAAGATTGAGCTGGTGTCTTTAAAATGAAAACGGTAAATGAAGTTGAGTTCTGATTCATGATGTTGCATGTGCTCAGCCATTCTGGTTTTTAGGGAAAAACAAAAATATTAGGAAACGACAGTGAACGTTACTTAAGGAATCACGGAACATTCTGGGGTGGTGAGTCACCAAGCTGGGAGTCTGGACTCTGTTTCCTCAGCTGTGGATCTGCATAAAAAATTCTCATAATCACTTGAAGAGGCAGGAGAAATGACCCAAAATTAGAAATCACTTAGGGATTTTTATTGATCTGCCCATTTTCTTTCTCCTGCAGGTATGGTTATACCCAGGCCCATTTCCCTCTAAGATTCAGTAGAAATTTCCAGAATATGTATCTGATATTTTTCCCTCAGGAAAGTGAATATGATGTTTTGAAATTTAATTATAAGGCCTGCCAAGGTGGTGTACACCTATAATCCTAGCCCTTGGGAGGCTGAGGCAGGAGGATCACTGTGGGTTTGAGGCCAGCCTGAACTACACAGCGAGAACCTGTCTCAAAACAACAACAACAACAAAGGAAAGAAATTTAACTATGAAGTTGGCACAAATAAAATTTGATATTAATGCCTCATCTCAGATCATAATTTCTAAGAATTTGCCTCTTATCCATTCAGAATGCAGAACCCAAAGAGAATTTCACATTCCTTAATCAACATTGTGTTTTGTCCATATTTCGTGTTTCTTATTGGTTTCCAAAGAAACATGTCAGAACACTGAATGATGCATGTGGTCACTTGTTCTAACGCTTTCACATTTTTTGCATTTCTTTCTTTTAAAGCACAAGACTCTGCTGACATTATTTTCCTTATTGACGGATCAAACTACACCGGAAGCTCCAATTTCGCAGTCATTCTCAACTTCCTTGTAAATCTCCTTGAGAGACTCTCAATTGGACTTCAGCAGATCCGAGTGGGGGTGGTCCAGTATAGTGATGAGCCCAGAACCATGTTCTCCTTGAATATCTACTCCTCCAAGGCTCAGGTTCTGGCTGCAGTGAAGGACCTGAAGTTTACTGGTGGGGAGTTGGCTAACATCGGCCAGGCCCTTGACTTTGTGGTAGAGAATCACTTCACCAGGGCAGGGGGCAGCCGAGTAGAGGAAGGGGTTCCCCAGGTGCTGGTCCTCATTAGTGCTGGGCCTTCTAGTGACCAGGTCCACGACGGGGTGGTAGCTCTGAAGCAGGCTAGTGTGTTTTCATTTGGCCTCGGAGTCCAGGCAGCCTCCAGGGCAGAGCTTCAGCACATAGCTACCGAGGAGAGCTTGGTGTTTATGGTCCCGGAATTCCGTAGCTTTGGGGACCTCCAGGAGCAATTACTGCCGTACATTGTTGGTGTGGCCCAAAGACACATTGTGTTACAACCGCCAACCATTGTCACACAAGGTACGTATGCTCTCTCACCATCTGTGGGCATGGGATGTGTTGTGTGTTGGACTGCACAGAAGTAAGGTGGGCACCAGAGAGATTCACCTCAGGAAAACTTGTAAGTACCTGCAGTCTAGCCCTTCCGTGATAAACTGGTTCCCAGATGTGGTGTTTGTGGTTGTGGTGTTTCCAAGCTCTAAAGATCAGCAAGAGCCTGGGATATTCCTGTTGGAGTATGACTTGTGAGGAAGTGTGTTTTCAGGCTCTCTCAACAAACCTGTTACTTTGAGAAATTTTAAAACATCATTTTATTATGTATTTATAACCCAGCCACCCCAGAGATGGATTTGAGGGCTCAGTACAGTTTTGAGAAAGCTGCTCCAGGATAATGACACTGACTTGTAGGTCAGCATGTGAGAAGCATGTTCCTAAATAGTCTTCTTCCAAAAGCAGTCAAGGGTTGTCTCCTTGAAGTCCATCTGTGCTGGGCATGGAGAGGTACATTTCAAAGGTAAGGGGCAGGAGCACAGTTGCCTGATGGAATGTTTGTGGAACATTTGTTCTGGTGCCTTTCAAATTTAGGAGTAACTTATTTGAGTGGCAAGACTGACCTGTGCTCAAATGCACAGTCCTTGGCGACACAGCCAACAGGGGTTAATTAAAACTCACAGAACCGACAGAGTCACCTAAGAAATGTGGATTTAACAGTCACGGGAGATGGGAGAGGTGTCAGAAACATGCAGGTTACCCCTCCTCCCGCCATGCTTTTAGGACTATCAACTTCATGACCTTGGTCAGGCTAATTGAGGGCCATGCAGGAAACAAGCGGCACAGTAGTCCTCAGTCGTTTTCAGAAACACCCAGCTCCCTCCCCAGTGTCGTCTCCACACTAGGCCACCCTCACCAGGCTGGTCCTTCTTACAATTCACCGTCTTGCTGAATGTAAGACCTTGTTCCTTCCTGGTCTTCCAGCGCCTCTTCACAGGATGGGTGCCATGAAAACTGGTGAGTGAACTGGGCTCTTGTAAGACTGGTTCTCACCTGCAGCCAGTTGTTTAAATTTTCCTCTGTGGAGCCACACGTTTTTGCTTATTTGTGCTAACTTTCTAAATATAAGGTGTGGGGCTAACAAATACTTATCATAATAAAGTACTGCTTCACTGCTCACCATAATAAAGGACTGCTTCACCATCCCCATAGGATTGGTTTTCCTTTGAAAAAGGAGTGACAATAAATTTAAAATAAACCACTGCGTGAAATCAGGAGGGGAACATTTTAAAGTTTTAGGCAAAACCCTCATGATTGGCTTCCTTGTGGAACTGATCTCTACATCACAGCACTTTGCTCATGAGTAGATCCTGGTACTGCATTAAGGAAAAGGCACTATCTGCATATTTGTTGTAAAATTCAAGTGGCGATGGCCTAATTTCCTCCAAATGGCCTCGAGGCAGGGGTGGTGTTGTCAGGACAACTGTAGGCAAGAAGCTCAGGGCCTAGACCTCTTGCCTCGGGACCAGCCTGCGCCAGGGGACTTGTTAGGAAGTGTGTGAGAACTGCTGTCCAGAAGAGGCTCTGCGCGCACAGTATTTAGTGCACACGGGCCAGTGTGGGGCAGCTTGCAGCCGGCTCATTCAGGATCCGGCTTTTCCTTTCCCTTCTGGGAGCTGAGAGGGAGCTGGAAGCTGGAGCAGAAATGGACAGGGAAGGGCAGCACATGTGCAGGGCGCAGGCCCTGCCTCCCTGCTGCTCTGAGCTCCTTAGCCTGTTTCCCTGCTGCTGTTTTCTGGCCCTGGGAATTAAAGAAGCAACCCAGTGGCACTGTACACAGCCTTCTGAGGCATCTCTGGGCTTCCTCGTTTTGGAGGCAAGTGATTTCCCCAGGTTTTGTGATGCAGAGGAAGTGCCGTGGCTGTGGCTGCCAGACTGCTCCTGGTTCTGGGTCTTCAGTGGGCAATGGTGCGGTTGTGGGCACTCTGATTCCTGCACTCTCCGCTCTGACTCCTGAAATGCTGGCCAAGAAATCGCACTAGATGAAACTATTTTTGTTCTGGAGAAGGTTCAACTTCTTTATTAAATGGGCAGCATATTACTCTCGTTGCAGATTTTCTGTAGCTGGAGTTTAAGTCTTTTATAAACATTATCTTTAACCTTAGTGATTAACTTGTAAATATCCACCAGATATTCTCGACTGTCTGGTGTACACCAGGCACCCTGCCAAGTGCGGGAGACACAGTGCTGGTGAAAGACACAGACGGGGCTGCTTGTCCTTCACAGCGCCATGGGCAGATGGATAACGAAAATGTAAACTAATGAGCAAGCAAGACATTCCTGCAGCGTGATAAGTTACATGAGGCCTCGCAGGGCCGTGTGGGAGACAATGTGAGGTGGGGCTTAGGGCCCCTGGCTGAGAAGCTCAGGCTGCAGGGTGGAGAGGAGACACACACAGAGGACACAGGGAAGAGTGTTCCAGGCAGGAGGAAGGTGCATCCCTGCTACACCTTGGAGCTTGGCTCCTGCTTGGGACCTTCGGAAAATAGCAAGGCTGGGGTGCCAGGGACTAGGGAGCGAGGTCCAGCCTGCTCCATACATGGGAGGCTGGAGGAGTGGCTGGGTGGGGGTTATGGAGTCTGGGGTGAGCACAGGGTACTTGGGGTGTCTCTGGGTTCAGAAGTGGTGTCTGCAGGGAGCCGGAGAGCAGTGGGGTCTCAGGGTGGTGCCTGCATGGTGAGGGGAGTAGGGAGAGCCAGGCCCTGGGACGGGTCTGAGCAGGTGACATCAGTTCTGTGGGAGACAAGAACTGGAGGGAGGGTGAGAAGCCCAGAGAGGGCCGTGTGCCGGGGAGGAGAGGTCCTCAGGACCTACATGCTGGGAGTGGAGTGGGAAGAGGACCGGGAGCATCCACCCCTGGGTGGGTGCACATAGGTGTCACGGGGGTTCCATGCTCCCTGGTTCCGTGTGCACCGGAACTGGTCATCTGTCCTCCCCAGGGCCACTGGTGGAGTGGACAGTAGTGTAGCTGCAGGAGGTGTTTGGTTTGGGAAGGGTGAGTGTGGCAGTTACCTCCTCCCACATGAGGCACCGTGGAGCGGCCAGGAATCATGAAGAATGAGCGGGGGAGCCACGCACTGTGGAGCACAGGTGACCCCGAGCATTGTCTGCTCATCTGCTGCACGTGGGTGCACAGTGGCTACGTGTGTGAGGCAGACGTGGTGTGTCATATAGAGGATGTGCGTGAGCACTGACGGGTGTGTGTGTGTGTGTGTGTGTGTGTGTGTGTGTGCGTGTACATGGATTATCCTCAATGACAGAGAGGCATGAGAAGTCTTCCAGCCATGCACATGTTCAGGTTTACCTGTAGAGAGATTTTAAACCAAAGTCAAAGGCTCGGCCTAGAGAGACAGCGAGTTCTAAGCCGAAGGACGGACGTCAGGCCGAGCGGGTCCCATTGCCATGGCCGGGGCCTTGCAATAGTGCAAAAGGTTGCATACGCGCTGTTGGTAACTGAGCACCCGTATCAAGGATGTCAGTGTACAAAACGTCACCCTCCTGGTAGGACACAGCCCAGGTCTTGGTGCTGAAAGTGTCTAGGAGGTGCATTTGTCCAAAAAAGCTCCTTTGGAGCAAACCAGTGATTCGGATCCAGGCCCATCTTGCAGCCTCTCATCTTCAGAGCCGAGGAGGAGCTGAGTTTACATTGCTCTTGCTCATAGGAGGCTCTCCTTACCTTTATTCCACACCTTCTTTCCTCTACTGGACACTGCAAAATCAACTTGCTGTGCAGCTGCCTTGCGGGAGAGTGGCCGAGGGCCTTCTGCTCACTCCCTCAGGCCTAGCTGTGTGGGTTGGCGTCTGTCTCGGAAGCCTCCCAGGTTCTGGCTTGGGCATCAGGGTCCAGGCGGCTTTTTGTTCCTGCCGCGTGGGCAGCCCGTGCACATTTGGAGAGAACACCGGGAAAGAGCTCGCACAGGCTAAGGTCGTGATCTTGTGGAGACATTTTCCCGTGTGGTTTGCCTGAGTTATCAGCAAAGCACACGTGATACTTAAGACCTTTGCAACCCAGGGCTCTTATGTGAAAAATTTGGTGGCATGGGCTAGCTGTCATGTGGATTTCCTTTAAAAGAAACAAAAAACCCTAAACTTTTATGATCTGAAGTTTGTTTTTTTCACCAAAGAAAAGAAGCCATAGTGTGTAGAAATGAAGAGAACCATGTTCAGCTTTTGTACTTGATGCTGTGTGGCTTTGAAGTCAAGATCATGACCCAAGAGCTGTCTCAGCTGACACAGGCTGCTTTTCTAGCCCTTTAAGCTACAGCTTCCTTCTGGTCCAGTTATATTTATGGCAGCAGGGGACTGACTGACCTCTCAGTGACAAAATGCTAAGCCACTACAAGCAAACTTTTGTGTGACTGTCTTGTGACATGTATTAAGAGGAGTCAGGGTGGGAGGGGAGCCAACTATCATCCAATAGGCAAGGATGCAGATGGAACGGACGAGTGTGCTGTGCCGAATGTCGCCCAGGGCAGCCCCCAGTGTCACATGGGCCAGACAAAGGGGAGCATCCTTGAGGTGGAGGTGGTTGTGGCGAGGTGGTTGAGCGTGAGTGGTCAGGCCATGGGACTCACCTTTCCTTGTTGCTACCCACAGTTATCGAAGTCAACAAAAGGGACATAGTCTTCCTGGTGGATGGCTCATCCAAACTGGGGCTGGCCAACTTCAATGCCATCCGAGACTTCATTGGCAAAGTCATCCAGAGGCTGGAAATCGGACAGGACCTCATCCAAGTGGCAGTGGCTCAGTATGCAGACACTGTCAAGCCTGAGTTTTATTTCAATACCTACCCCAGCAAAAGGGAAGCCGTCAGTGCGGTGCGGAGAATGAAGTCCATGGAGGGCCCAGCCCTGAACACGGGCTCTGCCCTGGACTTCGCTCGCAACAACCTGTTCATCAGCTCAGTCGGCTCCAGGGCTGCTGAGGGCGTCCCTAAACTCCTGGTGCTGATCACAGGCGGTAAGTCCCTGGACGCCATCAGCCAGCCCGCCCAGGAGCTCAAGAGGAGCGGCATCCTGGCCTTTGCCATTGGGAACAAGGTCGCCGATCGGGCGGAGCTGGAAGAGATCGCTTTCGATTCCTCCCTGGTGTTCACCCCCGCTGAATTCCGAGCTGCCCCCTTGCAAGGCATCCTGCCCAGCCTGCTGTCTCCTCTCAGGACCCTCTCAGGAACCACTGAAGGTAGGGTGTGTGGCTCATGCATGCATGAGGGGCCCCGCAGGCAGAGGCTTTGGAAAGAACAAAAGCCCGAGGTTGGATTGGTGTTAGCAGAGAGATCTGTTCCATGCTGGAAACCACACCCAAAAACAGGATGGATTCAGGCTTCCCTTTCCCCTACCAAGAACTATAGATTCTAAGACACCTCACAGAGCATGGTGTGACCTCTCTGTCTCCTCCTCCCCAGTGCCACAGGTCAGTGAGGCTCAGGGACCAGGTGTCTGACAGCCACTCTGGGCCAGGCTGGGCGCAGCGCCCCCCACTAGGGATTCCTGCTGTTGGGGGCCCAGTGAGGCATGTGAGTGAGGCCCCAGCTGTGGTTCTTCCGACCCCACTTGACTGCCAGTGAGAAGTTGCTTCCTCCAGACGTTGTGAAGTTCTCTAGCCTGTGAATTAGATAAATGCAGTTCTCTGTCCATAATGAAGAGAAGATGAATATCGCGGAACCAAGCTCTCTGTGTGACTTAGTGCATGCCCTCCTGCATGATGTCTGCATCCTTTCACTGAGACTTTCTGATTGTAGACGTCCTCAAAGTCTTTCTCTCTTTATTCCCTTTCTTTTTCTCTATTTTCTTAAGACTTCTAACCTGCTGTTTTATAGTGAAAATTCAACTTCATAAATGGGACAAAATTAGTCTAAATTACAGTGAGACCAGAGAAAAAAATAAGAAAACCTTTTTTTGTTTCTGTTTTTAGGAGATAGAGTTTTGCTCTGGAGCCCAGGCTGTCCTTGAACACTGATCTTCCTGCCTCAGTCCCCTGAGTGCTAAGGTTACAGACGTATACCTCCACACATAGCTGGGAAATATGCTTGTTAAAGGCACGAGCTAAATGTGTTAGGGAAAAACAGTCGTCCTTCAGTATCCATGAATGATAGGCTCCCACAGACACAGAACTCCACGGATGCCCTGGTCCCTGTATAAAATGATGTAGTGTATCCACAGAACCTATGTGCATCCTCCCATGTACTTTATATTGTCTCTGGATGAACTATATCACCCAGTGCAATGAAAATAGTGCTTGTAAATTATACTGTGTTTATTTAGGGCATACTGATAAGAAAAGAAGCCCACACATGTTCAGCATAGACCTAATTTTTCCCAAGTAGTTTTGATCTGGTGTTGGTTGAATCTATGGATGTGGAACCCACTGAGATGGGTTCTACTTGAGAATTATAGTTTATATTCTTCATGTGCATCCCGCCAGCCAAGTACAGTGAGTAGTCTTGCATTTCCCTAGTCACTCCTGGGCCCTCTATCTCCCTTTGCATCAAGCGCTCAGTACCCCTGGCTGGGACCCAAGAGGACAGGAGTGGGCAGAACAGAGAGCAGTAGAGGGCCTTCCGAGGAGAACAGGCTTTGTTTTATTGTTCTTAGCTTGAGGAACACAGGTGCTCAGGACGAAGTGGGCTAACTGCTCCCACAGAAAGCTCCCTGTTACTGCACACAGGGGGAGCCCAGGGGGACACGCTCAGGTCCAGGTGAACCCGACTGTCAGGGGTGTGTGGATAGATGACACAGAAAGGCCGGCACCTGTAGAGTTCGTTTCCAGGGAAGCAATGCTGCGTTTCAGGGATCCCGCTAGCCGTGTTAGTTGCAAGCAGTCTAACTCTGGCACTGTATCTGTCTGCGAGCCAGCTCGGTGTTGTACACCTGGCTATCAATCAGCCTCACCAGCACCAGCCACCCCAAGAGGAAAATATGCAGCCGCTGCCATATTTTACGAGCGGGACATGCTTTGCCGCGTTGCCTGCCTGTGTGTCCTCGTGTGGGCATGCGTGCCATGGGGCGGCACACATGGAGCCTCAGATGTGTGTGCGTGTGTCTCACGTTGTTTTCTGTGCTTCACTGCAGTTCACGTAAACAAAAGGGATATCATCTTCCTTTTGGATGGATCAGTCAACGTTGGAAAAACCAATTTCCCTTATGTGCGTGACTTTGTAATGAACCTAGTTAACAGCCTTGATGTTGGAAGTGACAACATCCGTGTTGGTTTAGTGCAATTTAGTGACACTCCCGTGACGGAGTTCTCTCTAGACACATACCAGACCAAGGCTGAGTTGCTCGCTCACCTGCGGGGCTTGCAGCTGCAGGGGGGCACGGGCCTGAACACAGGCTCAGCCCTCGGCTATGTCCATGCCAACCACTTCACCGAGGCTGGCGGCAGCAGGATCCGCCAACATGTGCCGCAGCTGCTGCTCCTGCTCACGGCCGGGCAGTCTCAGGACTCTTATTTGCAAGCTGCCAACCGGCTGGCACGCGCGGGCATCCTGACCTTTTGCGTGGGGGCCAGCCGGGCGAATAAGGCAGAGCTCGAGCAGATTGCCTTTAACCCGAGCCTGGTGTACCTCATGGACGATTTCAGCTCCCTGCCAGCTCTGCCGCAGCAGCTGATTCAGCCCCTAACCACTTATGTTAGTGGCGGGGTGGAGGAAGTGCCACTCGCCCAGCCAGGTAAAGCCCCCGCCGGCGCGGACCCCTCTGCTGTCCGGGTCCATAGAGCCTTCGTGACCCGTGGGAGCCAGTCTGAATACAGGAGCCACAGGGACCACGTGGACGATAATTAGTGGCTCATTTCGGTCGAAATGTTTTGAACAGGGATTTAAAACACTGTACCAGCAAGGTCAAGAGTGTAAAGTGTGTTAGTGAAAGTGCAGAACACTCAGCTTCAGAGTTGCCAGCCTCTGCGGTGTCATCCTTTATTCAGAAGCTACGAGGACCCACCTATGCTTGTAAAGACTCTGGAGTTAAAATCCACATGTGAGGGAGAGAGAGAGAGAGAGAGAGAGAGGAGACGGGGAGAGGGAGAGGGAGAGGGGGAGAGGGAGAGAGGGAGACTCTTTCATACAAGACTATGCCTTGGCTTCACTCAAAATTCAGAATTTTATGAAATTTTTATGTTGAGACTCCGCTGGTGCTAAAAGTCATCTGTGCGTCTTTATGTATCAGTGAAGTGGTTTCTGAAGGAAGCCACTAGTCATTACTCATATCATGTTGGTGGGACCCGGATGTATTGCGGCCACCAGCTTGCTGGGGTCACAGAGATGGTGGCAAGGTGGCACTCCCGGAAAGCTACCCACAATGGGTCAAAGGACTGTTTGAACTGGACCGCTCAGCGACTTCTGTGACGGCCTGTGGCCCCCTCTGGGCCATCCTCCAAGTCTTTGAGGTCCAACTGTAGTGGATTTGGGAGCACTGGTAGGGTCCTGACCTGTGTGGCCATGGCTAGCACTGCTCTGGGTCTTAATTCACGACCTCACAGAAGCTGAAAAGACAATCCACTGAGAGTAGGCAGGCGGTGACCCAGTTTTCTCTGGTGGTTAACTGCACTGGCCTATGTCGCTAAAGACTGAGGTCAGGTTTTTAGCAAAAGGACAATAAAGACCCCCGTGTTGCTAGTTCTATTCATAGCAATGTGCAAATGCACTTGTTGAGCCAAGCCAGCAGGACTTGCAGTGGCTGGCTTTGCAGAGGACCGAGGCATTGGGCACAGACAGGCACCACTTTGAGCCGGCCCGTGCCATGGGCAGCGGTGTGCTCTCTGCCCTCGCTGGTACAGGGACTCCCAGACTCCCACTGTCCAGTGTGGGAGGTGTGGCTCTGACGGGCGTGGTGTCTGTGGAGATCTCTTTGTTCACTGTGTCCTCTACTTTCTCTGTAGAAAACAAGCGAGACATCCTGTTCCTCTTTGATGGTTCTGCCAACCTCGTGGGCCAGTTCCCCGCTGTCCGTGATTTCCTCTACAAGATCATTGAGGAACTGGACGTGAAGCCTGATGGGATCCGGGTGGCCGTGGCTCAGTACAGCGACGATGTCAAGCTGGAGTCCCGCTTCAACGAGCACACAGCCAAGCCAGAGATCCTGAACCTGGTGAAAAGAATGAAGATCAAGACGGGGAAAGCCCTGAACCTGGGCTACGCCCTGGACTTCGCTCAGAGGTACATCTTCGTGAAGTCCATGGGCAGCCGCATCGAGGACGGAGTGATGCAGGTCCTGGTGCTGCTGGTGGCAGGGAGGTCGTCGGACTCCGTGGATGTGTCAGCGAGAAACTTGAAGCAGAGTGGCGTGGTCCCCTTCATCTTCCAAGCCAAGAATGCAGACCCTGCCGAGCTGGAGCAGATCGTGCTTTCCCCCGCGTTCATCCTGGTGGCAGAGTCACTTCCCAAGATTGGAGACCTGCAGCCCCAGATCGTCAACCTCTTAAAGTCAGTGTACAACGGAGGCCAGCCACCAGGTATGGCATAGCCAGGCTCCCCAGTGCAGCCTGCTCAGCTTCCGGCTCTGGGTCTCCTCCCGGGGAATGGGGACGGTGGAAATGAACATGAGTTTTCTTTCCTCACTTTGATTTTCTAGGTGCTCTCTAGGGCAAAGCAGGAGAATCTGGGTGATTATTTTTAGGAGCATTAGAATATTTCATAATAAGATACCTTATAAAGATTCCAATAGCCTTAGTTAAAATCTTCTTCTTAAACAGTTTTATTTTACTATGTGAATAATAAAAAGCCATATAATTGGGTCACCTTGCAGCTAAACCATCTTCATCTCCGCATCCCCGCAGTGCCTTTGTTTGGGGCCAGTGTCCCCCTTACAGTCCTTCCTAACCACGTTCAGTAACAATCGAAGGTGCTAGAGACGGATGCACTCCCATCATAAACACTGCCTTAAAATTTCCAGCTGCTATCTTACACCACCACGAGTGTCCGTTTCACTGCTTTTCCTTTGGTGGTGAGAATGCAGTGAAAAGAATAATTTTGCACATAGTTCTTTTGTTTAAAAGCTGAGGTTCTGGCCTGTCCTCACTGATGACGGTCCCACGCAGAGGGCGGTCACTCCAGCCTCCAGCCCCTCCCCATGGCTGGCAGCCGACACCTCACCCCTTCCTGCTGTCAGATGTCCTGGCTCTCCTACCCGACACCTCTATTTCTCTTGAGTTCACCTTCGGAGGCTAACAGTTCTGCATGTGAAGTTCTAGAATCATAGGTTTTCCGAATGGGAGCATGTGTTTCCAATTGCTGCCCCAAACCACACATTTTGTGGCTCGCATGGAAATGTGTTCCCTGGTAAATTTGGAGGTCAGGAGTGGGAAGCCAGCTTCCCTAGGCTGAAGTGCAGGCCCATGTTCCATCTGGAGGGCCTAGGAGATTGTTTGTGTCCTCCTGGCCTCCGGCTTCTAGAGGTGGCCTGCGTTCCCTGTTTGGTGTCCTCATCCCAACCCAGGAAGCTGCTGGTGCGTCATCGCCTTACTCTCTGACCTCTGCTGCCCTTACGTCTCTCTCACTCTGAGCTCATGACTTGCTCCTGTAAGGACGCTTGAGATTGGTGGAACAATTCGGGGCCCCTGGATAATCCAGAGTGCCCCCACCCCTCGGGCCCCACCTGGGAAGTCCTTTTCCCAAGTTCAGGGGTTTGGAATTGGGCCTCCCTGGGGGCTACTGTGCAGCCCATCCTGTGAGTGGGAGGTGGCTGCCTTCACGTTCCCCGTGAGTCATCTGGGGTCTCTGCCTCAGCTTCAGGTGAGAAGGACGTGGTGTTCCTGATCGATGGCTCCGAGGGTGTCCGGAGTGGCTTCGCGCTGCTGAAGGACTTCGTGGAGAGGCTGGTGCAGAGCCTGGATGTGGGCCCCGACCGCGTCCGAGTTGCCGTGGTGCAGTACAGCGACCGCACCCGGCCCGAGTTCTACCTGAACTCCTTCATGGACCAGCAGGGCGTCATCAGCGCCATCCGCAGGCTGAACCTGCTGGGCGGGCCGACGCCCAACACCGGGGCAGCCTTGGACTTTGTCCTGAAGAACATCCTGACCAGGTCCGCGGGGAGCAGGATGGAGGATGGCGTCCCCCAGCTCCTGATCGTGCTCACGGCTGAGAGGTCTGGGGACGACGTGAGGGTCCCCTCAGCAGTGCTAAAGAGGGGTGGGGCGGTGCCCATGGGCATTGGCATCGGCAATGCCGACATCTCGGAGATGCAGACCATATCCTTCATCCCAGACTTCGCAGTGGCCATCCCCACCTTCCGGGAGCTGGGGACCGTGCAGCAGGTCATCTCTGAGAGGGTGACCCAGCTCAACCGCGAGGAGCTGAGCAGGCTGCAGCCCATTTTTCTGCCCCCAACGAGCCCAGGTAAGGGTGGCAGCCCTGACAGCTGGGAAGGAAGGCAGCTAAGCGGTGCCCATCCTCGGTGAATGCCTGCCCGAGGCTGGCTCTCCCTGGACACCTGGGCAGGGGCAGTGACGATGCTGAAGGAGGCGAAGGCAAACTTGTTCCCTCATGGCCTTGTGGCTTGGAGAGGGGAGAAGGTGGTGGAGAGGGTGTGTGTGTGTGTGTGTGTGTGTGTGTGTGTGTGAGAGCTCTTGTTGGTGTCAGGACAGAGCAGCAGGCCCTGCCAGCTTCCATAGGCTGTCTCAAGTGTAAGTGATCCAACACACTTGGGAAAGAGTGGGACAAAGTGAGGGACTTTTTCTTTCATTTTCTAATCTCTCTCAGTGATGTGCTGTGTATATCTCCAAACCTACCTGATGCCGCAAGTCTTTATTGCCATGCACCTTGAGGCCCTGGATTCGAGGAGCGCCCTTGCAAATCCTCCTCCCTGCATGCAGTTGCTTTTGTTTCCTTTTTAGTGAGGGGGATTGAACTCAGGGCCTTTGCACCAAGCTACACCTCCAGCCTTTATTTATTTTTATTTTTTACTTTGAGACATGGTCTTGCTAAACTGCGAAATTACTTAGGTGGGGCTTGAGCTTGTGATGGCCCTGCCTCAGCGCCCCCGAATGCTGGGATTATAGGCCTGCACCACCACGCCCAGCTACGCGCAGCTTCTTCACGTTCAGGTCCTGCCCCACTCCTCTCCCACTTCCTGCCCCCCCTTCCCAGCCCCATTCCTCACGCCTCTCCTCCCTCCACTTGCTCTGGGTGGGGTGACCTTGAGACCCAACACAAGGAAGTCAAAGAGAACTTCCTTGCGGAAGCTCCTGCTCAGAGCCTCCTCTGCAATTCTCTTCTCCCCGCAGCATTCTCCACCATACTGGATGGTTCTGGAATGATAAAAATGCGTTCCTTTTTCCTCTGTTTTAGAAGCCCTCTCGATACCCTTTCCAGCAGCAGCTGGTTCCTCTTTGCAAGCCCATCTATCCTCTGTGCAGTTCTTCTCCTCCTGGCCTGGCTGGACCCACCCCGACCTGTCACTCCCCTCCCGCTCCACTAGAGGAGCACTTGTCCAGGTCCCTCCAATGGCAAAGTGGCCCAACACAGGTGCCAGCTTCCTTTCTCTGTGAGCAGCACCTGCCACAGCTGGGCAGCCTGTTGTCACTCGTAGACCCAGCACTTCTGGTGTCTGTGTCTTTGGGGATCCTTCTTCCCTTACCTTAGCGGACTCCTCCTCCTCTCTGACATGCAGATGCTGAAATGCACAAGACTTGCTCCTTGCACTGGTATTTTGACTATGGTGGTTGATATTTGGACTGCTTGTGGGATAGGCAGTGACTCCTTGATGGACCGAGAGGTGGCTCATTAATGCTAAGAATCTGATACCCCTAAGGATAAAGCCCATAGACGTGTTTGGTTCCCTGCAGGTGGTGTCAAGAGGGACGTGGTCTTCCTCATTGATGGGTCTCAAACTGCTGGCCCAGAGTTCCAGTACATCCGAGGCTTCATCGAGAGGCTGGTGGATTACCTGGACGTGGGCTTTGAGACCACGCGGGTGGCTGTCATCCAGTTCAGCGAGGACCCCAAGGTGGAGTTCCTGCTCAACGCCCACGCCAGCAAGGATGAGGTGCAGAATGCCGTGCGGCGGCTGCGGCCCAAGGGCGGCACTCAGGTCAACGTGGGGAGTGCCCTGGAGTACGTGTCCAGGAACATCTTCAAGAGGCCGCTGGGCAGCCGCATAGAAGAAGGCGTCCCGCAGTTCCTGGTGCTCATCTCATCCAGGAAGTCTGACGATGAGGTGGGCGACTCGGCAGTGGAGCTGAAGCAGTTTGGCGTGGCCCCTTTCACCGTGGGCAGGAACGCAGACCAGGAGGAGCTGGTTAAGATCTCGCTGAGCCCTGAGTATGTGTTCTCAGTCAGCACCTTCAGGGAGCTGCCCAGCCTGGAGCAGAAGCTGCTGACGCCCATCACCACTCTCACCGCCCAGCAGATCCAGCAAATCCTGGCCAGCGCCCACTACCCTCCACCAGGTACGGTCCTGGGGCTGGACGGGGTGCTTCCTTTGTTCAGCCAGCGCCTGCCAGAGACCCCAGCACACACCTGTGGTGGACCAGGTGGGCTGTGTCTCTTGATGCAGCACGGGGCGGGGACGGGGCATCTGAGAAAGGGGCCGTGGAATGATCAACATGGGGTTGCAGCTTGTGCTGGGGACTGAGGTGCTCTGGCCTGGGCTGAGAGCGGCCGAGAAGTGGAAACCGCTCTGCGACTGGCTGCCTTAGCCTTCTCTGGAAGGACTGGAAAAGAAGCAGTGGTCTTGGTACCTCCTGCTCACCAGAATAAGGGTGCGGGGCCTCTCCGAGGTTTGGACAAGGCTCTTCTCTTGTCTGTGTCAGCGGGCTTGTCTGTGCATGGTCCCTCCGTGCTGGCTGCAGTGTCCTTGGCGGAGGCTGACTGCGACGGGTAGTTGTACTCAGCAGGGGACCCCAGGCTGTGTGGACCTGCTGTAAGGCTGCTTTTTTCTTTCTCAGTAAACGGTTTAATTATGCAATTAGCCCAGTGATCCCACTATAAATAACCCAGCCAGGGATAAGCAAAGGCCGGGTTGATATGTGTCGAGGGGCAGCATATGAGTTAATCAAATGGCACCTGAGAAATGTCTAGAATTCTGACTCTTAGGAAAATGTGGCTCATCTCTCCCCAGACGTTTTGATGAACTATACAGACTGAATCGTCCTTATCCAAAAGACTTGAAACCAGAGGTGTTTTGGATTTTTTTGGATTTGGGAACATTTGTGTATACATATAGAGATACTTTAGGTTGGGACCCAGCTCTAAATGGGAAATTCTTTAATGTTTCATATATACCTATCCACATAGCCTGAAGGTCATTTTACACTATTAAAAAAATAACTGCATGAAATGAAGTCGTGTGACGTAGAATTTCCCCTTGGGTGGTGTCATGCGGTTTCATGTCAGTCCTGAAAAAGTCTTGCACTGGAGCATTTCAGATTTTGAGTATTTGGATTAGGGAATTCTCAACTTGTAGATAAAACCCAGCTCATGTCACTAAATGACAGGTGTGGACAGGGCTCTTTGTGCTCAGCTCTCTTGCTGTCCCTCTGTCTCTGTTTCTCTCCCTTCACCTCTCTCTGTCTCTCTCCTTGTCTCTCTTTGTCTCTGTCTCTGGCTCTCTCTGTCTCTCTGTCTCTCTGTGTGTGTCAGATGTTGGCCCTGGTGGTCAGTGTCTCTTCTGTAATCCAGAATTACTTTCTAAATGCTACTTGCATTTTCTAAAATTGGTATTAACCCAGACCACAAAGCTAAAATTAAAACAGACTCAACTCAGAGACAGAAAGTTTTGGAAAATATAAAATATTTCAAGAAATGGAAATTGCTTTGACTAAAAAAGAAGACTCATTTTTTAATGGTTCATTTCGCAAAGCTGGGGACATGGGCGGTGTGTCTGCCCCGGGATGGAGTTTTAACGTGGGTTTACGCAGCGCTGCTGCCTGAGGCCAAGCTCAGAACCAGGCGGAAACTGCTGGGCGCCGGCTGGCTCTGCACTGTTTTTCCTTTCTCTTGCAGAGAGCGACGCGGCCGACATCGTCTTCCTCATCGACAGCTCTGACGGCGTTAGAAGTGATGGGCTCGCGCACATCCGAGACTTTGTGAGCAGGATTGTGCAAAGACTCAACATCGGTCCCAACAAAGTGAGGATCGGCCTTGTGCAGTTCAGCAATGAGGTTTTCCCTGAGTTCCTCCTGAAGACCCACAGATCCCAGGCTGCCGTGCTGGGTGCTGTCCGGCGTCTGAGGTTCCGGGGTGGAGCTCCACTGAATGCTGGCAAAGCTCTGGAGTATGTGGCAAAAAACCTCTTTGTTAAGTCTGCTGGGAGCCGGATAGAAGATGGGGTGCCTCAACACCTGGTCCTGCTTCTGGGTGGAAAATCTGAGGATGATGTTTCCAGTTTCGCCCGGATCATAAGTTCCTCAGGGATCGCGAGTTTAGGAATTGGAAGTCGGAATGTCGACCGAACAGAGCTGCAGACCATCACCAGCGACCCCAGGCTGGTCTTTACAGTGCGAGAGTTCAGAGAGCTTCCCAGCATAGAGGAGAAAGTCATAGGCTCTTTTGGATCCTCTGGAGCTACCCCAGTACCTCCGATATTCACCCCTCCTCCCTCGAGGCCAGGTATGAGCTGTGTGGCTCCTCATTACAGAGTGGACTGTCAAAAATTTACCTTAAACTTAACCAGCATCCTGTGGAATAGTTTCCCTGGAGTTGTTCCTACAGATAATGTTAGAAATTAAGCCCTGGAAAAATAGTTGAGTTGAAATTGTAGAAGGAAACAGGTTCCCTGAAGCACCTGGCTGTGGGTCTTCCAGTACTCTCCAGGTTAACTGTGGCCCAGCCAAAGGTGCTATAAAGGTGCCCCAAGGGCTCATCACACCCACTGGCTGCCGGAATAGGGTGGCATCTCTGAGGTCAGTGGCCTGTGTCCCCTTGGAGGTGACAGGTGCTCACCATGGTTCGGGCAAGCCTCCTCCCTTGGACCAGGGTGATCCTGAGTCCTGCACCTGCAGCAGCTTCTTCCCTGTGCCCCTGGCTGTCACCTGTGGGGCTGCCAGGAGCAAATCAGATGCTGCCACTGCCCACGTTCCTCCTCCTCTCCATTGAGTGTGGCTGCTCAGACATCCGGAGTGCAGAAGTAGGTTTTCCCAGGGACCCCACTGACTCAGGTTCTCTCTCTACTGCCCCCTCTGGCTGGCTGGGGCACATCCCACATCCCTCACCTGGTCCCGTTTGTCCCTCCTCTTCATTTCTGTCTTGGTTGATGGACTAGAACTAGGAAATCACTCCCACCTGCCGCAGGCTCCCAGGAAGCTCTCAGACAGCCTTCCAAAGGTTTATGGGGTCTGCTTCCCATTGCCAGCCTGTCTCCTTGGTGGTTCTTAAACCACCACTCCTGCTCCTGCCACATACTGTCTTTCACTTCTGATCAGAAAGAATGGATTTCCTAGAACATCTGAGATCATACACCAGTGAGTCCAGGTCCTCACTGATTTCCTGACATGCCATCATTGTGCACAAGACAACCAGGGCTCCATTTCACTAAGTTCTTGCGGGTCCCTTCCTTTTTATTTGGATAACTTAGTTTTTATCTTCCTGTTTGCAGCGTAATGTGGTTCAGGGCTGGCACTGGAGAGGTATGGGATGGAATGAAGGTTTTCACTGTGAATGAATTATTAGGAATGTTGTCTTGTTTAATTTACATACTGTATGTTTATGTTCTGGGTATGGAGGCCCTATCTCTCCTCATCTTCATTGTGATCCTTTGTAGAGAAGAAGAAAGCAGACATCGTGTTCCTGCTGGACGGTTCCATCAATTTCAGGAGGGACAATTTCCAGGAAGTGCTCCGTTTTGTGTCTGAAATCGTAGACACGGTTTATGAAGATGGTGACTCCATCCAGGTGGGGCTGGTCCAATACAACTCTGACCCCACGGACGAGTTCTTCCTAAAGGACTTTTCCTCCAAGAGCCAGATTATCGATGCCATCAACAAAGTGGTCTACAAGGGGGGACGGCACGCCAACACCAGAGTGGGCCTCCAGCACCTGCAGCTCAATCACTTCGTGCCCGACGCAGGCAGCCGGCTGGATCAGAGGGTCCCCCAGATTGCCTTTGTGATCACGGGAGGAAAGTCAGTGGAGGATGCCCAGGATGTCAGCCTGGCGCTCACCCAGAGAGGCGTCAAAGTGTTTGCGGTAGGAGTACGGAACATCGACTCCGAGGAGGTTGGGAAGATCGCATCCAACAGCGCCACGGCCTTCCGCGTGGGGAATGTGCAGGAGCTGTCGGAACTGAGCGAGCAGGTTTTGGAAACATTGCATGATGCCATGCATGAGATCTTGTGTCCTGGTTTGGCCGATGTGTCCAAAGGTAACCCCTATACCCTCCCATCCCCAGTCCTTTCCTGGAGATGTTTTTTTGGGTTCAACTACCTGACTCCCCAGTGCTAGCCTGAGGATTTCTTAAGCATTTGGTAGCTACGAGCATTTCCTTATATTCACATGGGTTGGGCCCTGGGGCTCACCTAACTGCTTTTCCAGGACAAGAGTAGCAGTCTTTCTTTGCTCTTACGAGATTTATTCTCCAAATAACTTAGATTTATTAATCCTTGTTTTTAGTTAAAGTTTTATTGGCTCATTTTTTTGAGATTGAAACCTGTGCTTTCTAAAATGCTTTTAATTCAAAGCGCACACTGTAGATGTGTGGAAACACTAACTGTATATTATTATGCTGAAGTTGATGAACACCTCCAAAATAGTGAACTTTTGAGGTGTGATCAAAATATCTGATGAATGCTTAAATTAAAAAATTATCACAGTAAAAGATATATTGCCAGTAATCACCCTCAAAATCCTCCCACTTGATTCAGACACACTCATCCCACTGTTCTTGACACTCTCTGAAGCAGTTCTGGAGTCTGCTTTCATGTCTTCATGAGATGTGATAAAAAAATGGTTAATTCTGCTGTTCAGGAAGAGGAAGGCAGACTTGTAAAAAGAGGACACTGTGTCCTCATCTGCCTTATCCCCAGATCTGGCACCTTGTGACTTCTGGCTCTTCCCTGAAGTCAAAGTAACCATGAAATGTCAACCTTTTCAATCCATTCAGGACGTGGAGGCAGCCTCAACTGCACAGCTAAAGATACTCTGGAAAGAGGACTCCAGAGCTGCTGTAGAGAATGATGGGATAAATGTGTTTTAAGAGCAAAGGAGTGTTTTGAAGGGAGTTATGGGAATGTGTTATGTACCATAACATTTTAGAATTAAGCACTCACTGTGCTTTTTGATCACACTTTATATATTGAAATAGGCCACAAGTTTGCTTCCCAGCACTGACTTCTTGTGTTTTTTCCCATGAGAAAGGCGGGTGTAGCCACCACTCAGAGAGCAAGCAGGGAGGGGCTCATTAGGGTCCTGAGCACAGTGCGTTGGTCCACATCCAGCTGCACCTGTCACTGTGTGCCTAGAATTCTTCTGTGCAGCCTCACCTTAGTGCTGCTGGCCTGCATTTCTCCTTTCCAGCCTGTAATCTGGATGTGATCCTGGGATTTGATGGATCCAGAGATCAGAACATATTTGTGGCCCAGAAGGGCTTTGAGTCCAAGGTGGATACCATCCTGAGCAGAATCAGCCAGATGCAGAGGATCAGCTGCAGCGGCAGCCAGATGCCCACTGTGCGTGTGTCGGTGGTAGCCAATGTGCCTTCTGGACCGGTGGAGGCCTTTGACTTTGATGAGTATCAGCCAGAGCAGTTTGAAAAATTCCGCAACATGCGTAGCCAGCACCCCTACGTCCTCACGGCTGACACGCTGCAGGTCTACCAGAATAAGTTCAGGCAGTCCTCGCCAGACAGTGTGAAGGTGAGTGGCCCCTCTGCAAGGTCCCAAGTTTTGCTGGGTGGCAGGCTGTCACCAGTGTCTGGGAGCCCTGCCTGAGTCCTTCCTGTAGACACCCCCGCAGGCAGGGCCAGGCTGCCAGTGTCCACGTGGAAGTACTCACCAGCTGATCATAATTTCATAGACTAGGGGCTAACTCTTCTTGCTAGCTTTACCTGAGCTCCAAGACACATCCTGGACATCAGTGAGAAAGCCTGAGTATGTGATTTAGGGTGAGTTCAGGTTCAGTAACAGGTCTGCCCACTAGAGAGGTTTTCATCCGCTCGTGTTTCTGTCTCTCACCTCTCTGCTCCTGCGTGTACACGCACTGTGTGCACACGTGCCATATCTGCTTGTTAGAGCCGGCACACACAACAGTATCACAGGCAGGGGTTGCGATATTGATCTCCTCACAGTGCTGAGGCTGGAGGTCTGACATCATGGGGAAGGCAGGGCTGGCTTCCTCTGAGCCTGTCTCCTTGGCTTGCAAATGGCTCTTTCCCGTGACCTCACGTGGTCATCCGTGTGTGTGTGTGTGTCTGTGTGTGTGTGTGTGTGTGTGTGTGTGTCCTAACGGTCTCTTCCTATGAAGATAGCTGTCATACTGGATTAGGAGCCACCCAATGACCTCATTTACCTCAACTGCCTCTTTAAAAGTCCTTCCCCTAAGCACAGGGTTAGGATACCACGCCAGACACATACTCCTGGGAAGTCACACCTCATAAATGTGAGAGTGAGATAAACTGTTCTCATTCTCACTGTTGCTTATGATTTTTAAAAATAAATCAAACCCGAAAACACGCCCTTTTATTTTATGCCTCATTTATTACACAATAGCCTTGACCGTGGCCTTCAGTTTCTCAGCCGTGGAACGAGGAATCTGAACGCCAGAAACCTCTCGGTTCCCTTCCAGCATCTGTGCTCTTCCCTTCTGGGCCGGGCTGGACCTTCACCGCTCTTTGGTTTGCAGGTGGTCATTCATTTCACTGACGGCGCGGATGGAGACCTGGCAGCTTTACACAGCGCGTCGGAGGCACTCCGAGAGGAAGGTAGGCCCCTGGATTCCCAGGTTCCCAGGTGTCCTGGAAAAGCAAAACCTCTCTACCTCTGGCCAGGTGAGGCGGGCCTTGCTGCTCTGCAGAGAGACCGCTCTGTTGTGGAGTGCTGGGTGGGGACAGCTTCTGCTGGAGGACGCTGTCCTCAGCTCCGTGGGCTTTTTTGCCTGCTTGGGCCTCTGGGGTGCTAATGAGGATTCCTTATGAGCACAGATGGCTTTACACCCAAGCCTTGGCACAAGCGAGTGGGTTCAAAGACCCAACCAGATGGTGGGACTTCAAGAATGCACGATATTTGTCTTTGTCACTTTTCTCACTTTTGGGACAAAATACCTGACACCTGCAACTGAAACGAAGAAAGGTTTGTTGTGGCTCGTGGTGTGTGAGGTTTCAGAGGTCTCAGTCCCTAGTTGGCTGGCTCCCTCAGCTGGGCAGACGAGCACTGAGGAGAGCTCCTCAGGTCATGGTTTTCAGGAAGCAGCGTTTAAAGGAGTGGGGAAGGGAGATAGACCCTCCCAGGCCAGGGCCCCAGTGACGGCCTCCTCCTACGAGGCTCCACCACCAGCATCACATTTAGCTACACATTCATCAGTGGACTAGTCCTCCCGTGAGTACCACAGCCCCATGATCCAGTCACCTCCCCGAAACCTCACCTATGTGTGCATGAGGTTCTGGGAGTCATCTAGGTATGAACCATAATAATGTTCTTGCAAAAGAATCCAAGTACTGATTCATTTAGCTCCATCATATAAACTAGAAGGTAATGTATTAGCAAAAGCAACTACTGTATTTTCAGCATGGGGTAGTCACAGCTCAGAATGCTACAGCATTTAAAGTACAATACATGTAAATGATATAAATAAACAGACTGACCAAATGTAAGGGGACCTGAGATACTTGTTAGGAGACTTTCACATGCTTTGGAGTTTGGAAGCACTGAATATCAGAAAGCACTGAAATATCAGAACAGCAGAACCTTAAGAGGAATTCATACATCACAATTTATCAGAAGATGGTCCTATTTATTAGCTAATGTCCTCAAGCTTTGGAGATATGGTTGTGCTTCCCTGATTTTGGACGAGTTAGTCTTTCATTTCTTCACACTGCACACCCAGTAATGTAGGGCCAGACTTTGAGAAATTAGTTTGAATATATTTCATGGTTGCCACTTCCTGGGTTTATAGTAATACATTTATTTTTTATTTATTTTTTTTTAAGACAGGGTCTCGCTGTGCAGTTCAGGCTGGCCTTGAGCTCACTTTGTAGCCCAGGCTGGCCTCAAACTCACAACGATCCTCCTACCTCAGCCTCCCGAGTGCTGGGATTACAGGAGTGCGCCGCCACGCCCGGCTATAGTAATACATTTAGAGGCACATTGAAAATAATTACCGAGAGGAGTCCAAGGTTTCAGTATTCCTACTCTTCAAGGTAGCTCAGTAGTTTGATTACAGATGTTTAAGTTAAAGCCAAACTTTATGCTAAATTTTCTATTTAATCAAAGTCAGGAAAAAAGATGTCATGGCTCTGGAGCATGCAGTTGAGCTGCATTAAGTGTGTCTTTCCCCACAGGTGTCCACGCGATGATCCTGGTGGGCCTGGAACGCGTGGCCAACCTGGAGCAGCTGGCGCATCTGGAGTTCGGGCGGGGCTTCCTGTACGACAGGCCCCTGCGGCTTAACCTCCTGGACCTGGATTATGAGCTGGCTGAGCAGCTGGTGTGTGTTGCTTTACACAGACCAAATCAGAGAGGGCAACACTTGGCATCTGTAGACAATCAAGTCAACCCTGGCCAGTGGGGGAATGGGGTGTCTGGGGCTTTAGTTTAATGTGCTGAATTCACTTGGGATCTGCCTTCCTGGCCCAACAGGTGTGGGTCTCAGAAGCAAAGCTAGGTTTGTAGGCATTTGGATGTCACAGCCTTAGAATTTCCTCAGTTCTAGTTAGCAGTGGCTTCTTATAATTCCTGAGATTGGTGGGGATGCCAGACCTTGTGACGGGCCATCCTTGGGCAGGAAACTGTCCATGGTGTCTGAAAGTTTACATGATGTTGACGAGAAGGACCAAGGCCACTTCCGGTGGAGAGGTGCTCCTACTACTGCCCTTCCAGTTTCCTTTGGCAAACACGGAGGAGCCCTTCAGGGCTTCCCAAACCTCAGCCTGTTGGCGGGAGGGGTTCTGCCTGGGCTTGGGATTGGGGACAGGAGACGAGGGCTGGGGATGAACGAGGAGGTTGTTGGGTGGTAGCAATGGCGGAGTGTGGCTACATCAACCAGATGGACTGAATGCACCCTTCCTTCCCTCCCACCTTCTTCCAGGGCTAGAATTAGGATTTTCTTATTGGACCAAAGGAGGTTGAGTTGGTTGACCAGTCTGGGACACAAGAGAAATCGAGAGCTCTGAGAAGCTCTTTGCAAGAAAGCCCAAGTGGTGCCATTAGGGCAGCAGACTTTGCCTCATGAGGGTGGGAGGGGAGTGTCCAGGGTATCAGGTGAGTGTCAGAGGCACGAGTGACCCTGAGTTGTGGTGCTGGTGGCTCAGCAGCCAGGCCGCTCCTGCCTGCTCCTCACGGGGGCCGCTCTAGGGCCTCCTCCAGGCTGGGGCTGCTTCCGTGCCTCAGAGCCCAGCTCCCAGAGTGGGCTGCCTGGAGCTGTGTTCTAGAAAAATTTTGGGTCCTGGTCAGCTGTGATTTGTTTGCTAGGTCCTGCAGTTGGAGTTGAGGCACATGTAAGTTATAGTTACCACCTGAAACCTGAATGCCTGTGTCAGAAATGTCTCCAAAGGTCTGGCCTAGGGAGCTGTGGTGAATATGGTTTATGGTGCTTGGGTTCCTCTTCTCTTTCTCATTGGTGACAACTTCCAACCCTGGCTGACTGACAAGGGCTTGACCCTCAGCCTGGGCCAGCCTTGGGAGATGCTGTCCTGGTGACTTCCCTTGCCCTGTGCGGCCTGCATGCAGCAGACGGTGACCCCAGCAGCTCGTGGGTGGTTTTGGTGGGCATTTCCTGAGCTTTGGACTTGTTTTCTTTCCCATCCTGGCAGGGCAATATTGCTGAGAAAGCTTGCTGCGGGGTTCCGTGCAAATGCTCCGGAGAAAGAGGAGACCGAGGGCCCATTGGCAGCATCGGGCCAAAGGTATTGTGCTTGTGCCCTCTTCCCCAGCTGAGGTTAGAGGTTAAAGGTGACATTGCTTTGACAGGGTCATTTCTCCAACTTTGGAGCAGGGAGGTGGGGCAGGAGAAGGACCCTTCCTACTGGGAGAACAGGAGGTCCAAGGTGTGACCTGTGGGCTTCATTGCCCAGACACGTCCCCCACCAGATGCAGCCTCCGCGCTAAATGTAGAGCATCCCCAATGTAAAGCATCCCCCTATGTGGAGCGCCTTCTGAAACGGCATGGGAAGTTCCAAGTGTCTGTCACAGTCTCCTCTACATGGGATGAAGGTGTATTTTTTAGCAGGTGGGATCTTCATGTGGGAAAATCCTGTTGAAACTAGGGGCCTCACTTGCTGGGGGCCTCGCTGGCTGGCGGCCTCACTGGGCTGGTCAGCAGGGCCTCAGCGTTTGCCTCTGGGTGGGCAGCAGCAGGCTTTCCCAGCAAAGCAAGAGCCCGAGAGCCCCCATCACAAGAGTGATCACACGGAAAGTGGATGGGCCCTAGGACAGGCACCGGGAACTGTGCTGTCAGCACAGCTCTGCCCAAGGAAGGTGACAGCAGGGATGCTCAGCCCAGAGCAGTGGGGACCTCGGGGTCTCACGCAGCCTCTGTGTGCACTGTTTCAGGGCATTGCAGGGGAAGATGGCTACCGAGGTTACCCCGGCGACGAGGGCGGACCTGTAAGTACAGCAGCTCTCCCTGTTGCTCAAGCTCCTGTCCTGCCCAGTCCACATGGGAACGATGGTGGAGCCCCAGTTGACAGCTTTCCCTGTGGGAGAAAAGTGAACTGCTAGCTCCTTTAGCAACTTCCCTCAGATGGTGATGCTTTGGGAAATATGACAGTCTGACGGTGTCAGCGTGTGTCTGAGGGATGCGCTCCTTGGTCCTCTGGGAGGGTTAAATGTGTTCTCAGTCCAGCTCTTTGTGGGTGTGGGTCGCCCATGTTGGGGATGTCTCTCCAAGGGGTTTGGCCCAATCTGCATCACATCCAAGAGTTCCAGAGGAGGGCGGGAAGGGCCCAGCAGCAGGACTTTTGGGAGCAGGGCTGGGACAGTCATGGGTCTGAGAGGCTTGGAGACCCTAGATCAGAGCCCAGACTTGGAAGAGATGAAGAGGTCCTAGGGTAGTCCCTGAGGTCTCCAGGCCCAGTCAGGATGTTGGTGTCAGGGCTGGGCCCGGCCCACTGGGCAGCTGGGAGCCAAGGCCACACAGAGTAGCAGTCAGGCTGATAGACCCTCATCGGGGTCCAGCGGCCCCACACCAGGCCCCCAGGGACTCCCTCGCCTAGGTGACCCTCTGGAGCCCACTGTCCCCAGGGAGCTCTGACCCTCGACAGGCCTGGGGCTGGGGCCCTGGGGCTCCTGGCTCAGGCTCTGAGGGCTCCAGCTGCCACTGCCTCTGTTTCCCCACAGGGTGAGCGAGGTCCACCTGGTGTGAATGGCACGCAGGGCTTCCAGGGCTGCCCGGGCCAGAGAGGAGTGAAGGTACAGTGCGGACGGGGTGCGGGGCAACCCCGAGGAGGGCGCTGTGGGGAAGGTGCTGCATCGCAACTGGGGGGCTCCTAAGGAAGGTGTGGCAGCAGGAGATGGCCCGAGGCAGCAGGAGGCTGGGCCAGGTCCCTTGGTCTTGGCCCTGGGAGGAGGAAGGGGGAGGAGCAGGGGCAGCGTGGATTCCGGGGCAGACAGACTTTGTCTTTCGCTTGCTAAGTGACAGCAGGTGCTGAAGGGAAGGGCTGTCACCCCACAAAGCAGTAAGGTTGGCCTTCACGGGAGCACCTTTGCCTGGCTGTTGGGGTCACTTTCCATTACCCAGAGAGCAGGAGCTACTCAAGTATTCAGTTCCAGGCCGATCACCTTACGCCATCCCACACTGATCACGGTGACAGCGGGAGCTAAAGAGATAAATCTCTGACAGTGGAATTTTAGGCACTGGGGCATCCCGGTGGGGCAGCCCTTGGCTTCTGCTGCCCCGAGGTCCCAGCCGTGCAGGAAGAACTCACGTTTTCCCTGTTCTCTTTCTTCCAGGGCTCTCGAGGTTTCCCAGGAGAAAAGGTACTCAAGCTTGTTTTGGCTTTTAAGTTGAACACTTTCCTAGCAATTCCATTTTCCTCGGTGGGCAGAGGGCTCCGTGTCCTCACTCACCCGCCTGCCTTCTTCCCTTCCAGGGTGAACTCGGAGAGATTGGGCTGGACGGCCTGGATGGCGAGGATGTGAGTGGCTTTACTCTCTCAGCCAAAGAGCTTCTGGTCCTAGAGGTGGCAGCAGCTGGCGGCTCCCTCTGCGGCAGGAGCTGTGCTAGGCGTGACCAATTCTCGTTGTCTTTGGCAGGGAGACAAGGGGCTGCCTGGTTCTTCTGGAGAGAAGGGAAGCCCTGGCCGAAGGGTAGGTGTCTCTGAGGTGCTGCTCTTATGGGGGGACTTGTTTCTTTCACACGTGCGTGTCCTGCCCACTGCCTGCAGGCAAGCCTCTCAGACTGCCCCACCGGCTCTCCTGCGATGCCCCCCGGGGCCCCCACCAGCTCTGACACCTGTTCTTGTCTTTTCTGCATTGTACAGCATGTCCCACAGGGCGGGAATTGAGTTCATGTTATTCTACTTAAGTCCCTAGTGTCTGCTGGCACACAGTGGATCCCCACAAGACGTTTGTGCCTTCACTGAGTGAATCGTAAATAATTGAAAGTGACTTTACCTCCGCGGCAAAGGAGGGAATGGTCACTGGAGTTCTATTTAAGATTGAAGCATCAGAGTGTGATTTTTCAAGGCAAGACAATAATTTGTTGATCAGATCCTAAAGAGCCGATGCATAACACGGGGACTAGAGTTAATAAAATGATGCTGTATGGGGATCTGGGTTAAATCAATGCCTCTCAGCTGCTCGCGGCATGTTATTCAACCTCACTGTGGTACCCATTTTGCTATCTGCATTCGGTGTGATCTTCGAATAAGCACAATAAATGCACATCTGTCTGTTAACTCCTCTGTACCCATTTTATTTAGGGTGACAAAGGACCTAAGGGAGACAAGGGAGAGAGAGGAGACGTGGGCATCCGAGGTGACCCGGTAAGGCCACTGTCCCGCTTGGTGACCAGACGCAAGCTTGTGAACAGGTCGTGGGAGATGAAGACTAAAGCGAGAATCTTGCTCTGCAGATCGCTCTTATGCGTGTTGATAAAATATACACTTGTTCTTTTCTCACAAGTTTGGGTCACCAGAGGCGGGCTTGTTCTTTAGCTCCAAAGGTCAGCACTTGCAGATTGAGTCATGGACAAGCTGAGATGTTTCCTACAGTGCCGTCTTGGGACCCTTCCCATCTGCGTCCTGGAAAGAGGACCTTTTGTGGCTTTTCTCCTCTTAAATGCCTGTAAAAGCTGGCTGTGGTGGCGCATGGCTGTCATCCCAGCACTTGGGAGGCCGAGGCACCAGGACTGCCACAGAGTTCTGTGCCAGCCTGGGTTACATAGCGAGACCCTATCTCAAGGGTTGATTAATTAATTAATGATTCTGTAAGCTTATTAAGCAAGTGACTGTCACGTCCCCGTCTTTTCTCTGGCCTCTGTGTCGGGAAGCAAGGGCAAACCTGGGGTGCCCTCCTCCCTGGGGACTGCTGCGGTTTGCTGACCACACGCTGGGCTCCATCAGCACTAGTTGGGGGGTCTGTGGAGGATGTGGCTGGGCAGGAAGTGGATGTTGCGCTGTGCTCCTGTCGTCTCTTGTTTTGTGGCTCCCCATCTGGTGGCAGTGGCGTTCCGGCCACATGTGGCTCCTCCTCTGGTGTGTTGTTCTCAGGGTGAGTCTGGACAGGACAGCCAACAGAGAGGACCCAAAGGAGAGACGGGAGACCTCGGCCCCATGGTATGGTGCTCGTGCTCACAGACGCCCTGTGCTCAGGGCTGCGAAGCGCGCGCTGTCCCCTCAGCCGAGCAGCATGAGCCTGCAGGGACACAGGGAGGTGGCCTGGGTGTGTGGGGAAGGGCTGGGGTCTGGGGCTCCACACGGGAAGTGCTCATCACATCGACCCTCATAGAGGTGGGAATGCACGGGGTCCCCACCCCCACAGTGGGCTTCCCCTGGGAATTGGCCCTCTCCCTGCAGTGCCTCAGGTCTGTTTTTCTGCCCCACAGGGTCTCCCTGGGAGGGACGGCGTGTCCGGAAGTCCTGGAGAAACTGGGAAGGATGTGAGTACTCTTGGGTGCACAGGACACTTACCAAGCGCCATGTGTCTGCCAGGCACTGCCAGGGCGCAACGGGCTTCCTCTGGCCTAGGAGATTTTACGCTGCACTAAGGAAACACGGGCTCATTCACAGTGAACCATTCTTGTGCTCTGGTGCTCCTGGGAAGGAACCCAGGGCCTTGGACTCCGAGCTACTTGCACGGCTCACTGTTCTAGGAGCTGCTAGGTCCGGAGTCCAGTGCCAGCACCACTGAGGGCCTCAAGCTTTGTCATCCCAGGGCGGAAGGTGAAGGGCGACATGTGGACCTAAAACTTCCCACCTGTAGAATTTTTCACTCTTATGATTTACTCTGCGTTTTCTCTGTCCTCCCTCCCCACCTTACACTGTATATCCTTCTCCTCTAAAAAACAACATACCAAACAGATGCTTCGGAAAACAACTTTGTGCTTTCAAGTATTTGGCCATATTTTACCCCACCAAGTATTTAAAATATTCAAGCAGAAATTCTAAAGCTGGGGGTGGGTGGCAAGGGGCAGGAAGGTGAAAGAGCTGGGTATTTGCTGTTTTTATAGCAGTTTGGTTCTTCGTGTGACTGTCACGCATTGGTGGGGTGCAGGCATCCTCTGTTCCACTGTACGTTTCTTACCTGATCTTAGTTGAAAGGCTGAGACGCGGTCACAATTTCTGGAGTGTGCTTGGCATGTGCCACTCGGAGCGCCCTGTCAAGGAGTCTCGATGTGGAGACCCTGACGCTAGAGTGCTGGGGTGGCTTTCATGAAGCTGTTTTCAAGCTTGCAGGGCTCAGGGGTGCAGGGCTCATGGCCCTTTTGTCTGGGTGTGGAGGTCCCTGCCCCGGGCATATTGTAGCCCCAGGGGGAGCTCGGGAAGTGGTGGGTGCCCTGTGGGTCTGCACTCAGAAGTGAGTGGAACTTGAAGGCTGCACAGAGGCTGGGGGGCTGAGAACCTGGCCCCAGCTGTTTTCTGGAGGGTGGGGACATGTCCAGGCCCTCCCAGCTGAGGATCAGAGCAGTTGTGAGGCAAGGGGCTTCCCAGAGGGTGACTCCCAAGTAACTGGATGATCAGGGGTTTCCTAAAACTCCTAAGACTCCTAAGCAAACCTGAGACATTCGAGCATGATTGCTGAAGAGTGCTGTTGAGCCCCGCTCTGGATAAGAACAAGGAAGCACTCATTGGAGGCTTGCTTGGGCTGTCACTGCTCAGAGCGGGGCCCAGCCGAACCTGGGCTGTGCACAGTGACTGGCTCAGCAGTGTGGACGGTTGCTTTCAGTCCCACTGGAGATGGAAATGGGTCTGCATTTGGTTGCAGATGAGGGCTCTCGTAGCCTTCATTCAGGGGTTCATTAAGCAGGGAAGTGGAAAGCAGAGCACGTTCGCAGCAGGTTGAGGACTGGCTAAGAGGTCTCGTGTCCTTTCCCTGGGGACCCCACTGGCTGAGATGAGTAGCGGCCCCCCACCCCAGTGACGGCTGAGTCTCCACAGGTGGCCTCTGGCTTAGACAGTGAATCACTGTGCGCCGGGGGACTCTGATCACACTCGAGGATGTCGTCTTTGGGAGGGGCTGGTTCCGAGGTCACTCGGGGCAGGAGAGCGCCCTGTGCAGAACCAGCACCCCAGGTGCTGGAGCACAGCCTGTCAGCTTGCAAAGACCACACGGGACCTTCTCGGGCTTCCACCCCAGACCGCCAGGCCCCAGGGGATGATCGAGGGGTGGGGAGTCATGGGCCGCTGGCTGGACGAGCCCGCCTGTGAGAACTAAGGTCACCCCCGGAGCTTCGAGGAACCTGGTGCCGAGTGAGGCCCGAGCCCGCGCTAAGCACACGGGGCGCTGAGGTTCACGCCTGTGCTGCTTGGACACGGCTCTTGAGGGCGTGTGTTGTACTTGGCCAGGGTGGCTCGGAGGATTTGGGATGCTTCCCATCCTCGTGAGCCCGTTTCATCCCGCTCCTTGCAGAGAGGGACATGGAAGGAAACAGGCAGGTCGGCATTCCGGGCTCACGGGCCTCACTCCACGTTGGCCGGGATCGTGCAGCCAGAAGTCATTATTTTGCTTGGCGGGTTTGGAGCAATTCTCAAAACTTCCATTTGAATTACTAGCAGGAGCATCGTGGAAGCACGACTCTGAGTTGAGGGCCGGGCAAGGGCGGTCGATGTGGCTGGGCCTGGGGTGCCCGGGCGCAGTCACTGATTCCTGGCAGTAATGGTGGCAGCGACAGAGAAGGGGTCCTCGGGTCAGTCTGGGAGTGCCCAGGCCCTGTGCCAGCTTTCCTGTGTCCCTCATCGCTTGTGTGGCTTCTTCCACAGGGCGGCTTTGGCCGAAGGGGACCCGCGGGAGCTAAGGTGAGCCCCCAGGGGACTGGGACAGTACCCCCAGGTGTCACTGCTCGACTGTGACAGCTCCCAACTTAGCCCCTTCTACAAAGTCTTGAGAAGTGAAGTAGGTGGGGCAGAAGGAAGGGAGGGGACTGGCAGGTGGTGTCTTGGGTGCCTTTCCACTGTGAGGTGCCCACTTAGCTGGCCCTCTGGCCAGGGAAGGACAGGCTGAGGAGAAAAGCTGCCTTTCACAGAGCCGTCCGAGGAGCAGCTGAGGCGAGGGTGAGCCCTGGCTGCCCCGTGGGCACTGTCTCGCTCTGGGGTCTCCGTGTTCTTCGCCTGTGACCCTGGGAAGGCTGTGTCTCCCTGAGCATCTCCCTGGGCCAGAACCGACTGTGGGGCACAGAGGCGAGGCTACACTTCAGCCCTCACCCTTGCTGCATCTTCTCTTGTCTCCAAGGGCAACAGGGGTGGTCCTGGCCAGTCGGGCTTCCCGGGAGAGCAGGGCACCAGAGGCGCACAGGTCAGTACCCCTGCATGATGGGATGCTTTCCCAGATTTCCTGGAAATTTTTTAATTGAGATGTTCCTATAATATAAAATTAGCCATTTTAAACTCAGCGGCTGGTGGTGTGAGGCACACTCACAACGCCGCGCAGTAGTGTAAAAACATTTTTATCAGCCTGTCAGATGACTCTGTACCCACACCACCAAGCACCTGGTCGCCACTCCTCTTCCCTCTTGATGGACTTGCCTGTCCTGGGCGTCTCATCTAAAGTCATCATAAGCAGGTGGCTGTTTGTGTTGGGCTCCTTTCACTTAGGAGCATACTCCTGAATGCTGGCCACATCGGAGCCTCAGCCAGAACCTCTTGCTCTTGTTGACTGAATCATTCTCCGGTGTGTGGACACAGCACGGTTTATCCATTCCTCGGTTGCTGGACTTTGGGGGTGTCTCCCGCTGATGGTTCCTGAGAAGAAAGGTTACTGTGGGGCTCCTCCTAGAGAGCCAGCTTGGTGGCACTCACCCCGTGATCTCTCTCTGTAGGGTCCCCCTGGCCTCATTGGCCCTCCAGGCCTGAGTGGGGAGCAAGGCATCCCTGGACCTCGGGTAAGTCCCCTGCAGCTGACCGGCCATTAGCTGAGCACACAGCGCAGTGCCCAGGGGGCTGAGACTTCCATGGTAACGGTGTTGTAGATAGACCCGCCCCTCAGCCCGACCCTCTGGCAACTCAGTTCTTCTGGTGACCCAAAGTGGTAAAAGATCCCATTTCTTGTGCAGTGGTGGCTTCTAAGTCCCAATGCTACTCCTTCTAAAAGTAGCCTGCTCCTGGGTATTAACAAAGGAAGGAAGAGCCTTGTCCCGGAGATCTTACGAGAGACCTGTCCAAACCTACCAAAACTCTGAGGTTGTGCAGAGCATTTCACATCAGTCCCCTAGAGAAACCCCCCTCCCCTCCACCACATGTTACAGAGCATAACTATGACCAATAAGTTGCCAACCAGCTGGTCTGTTGCCACACTCATGCACCATAGTGGGCAGGATCTTTGTGAAGCTGTTGTTTGTTTAGAAAACCCTTCTACAGCCTGACAGCTGATAAAGAACTACTGCTAAACGTTTCTGCAGGTTTTTTTTTTTTTTTTTTTTTTTAACATTTGACTTTTAGTTAACTGGAAATTTAAGGTGACTTGGGTACAAAGCTATTGAAGGAGTTATCCCCTAGCTCCAGAAGCATTTATTAATTTGTGCTTTGCCGCCACCTAGTTTAGGGACCTTTCTGGGCTATGTGGGCTGTGCCCATTGAGAAGGTGATTTATTCATTCCCCCAGCAAGCATTCTGAACCTGGACAATCTGCAGTTCACTGGGGTGTGGAACAGTAGGGGAAGCACAGTCACACGAGCCCAGGGACCTGTCATCCAGCAGGGAACCTCGATGTGTGCCTTAGTAACGAGCATGTGCGATTGGCCCCGAGAGGCAGTGCTGATGGTGTAGGTTTGCGCAGACATTTCTGGTGCACTTATGTCTGGGTCTGTGGCACTGAGCACTGCGTCCTGCACTTGGGAGTTCAGGCAGCACGGGTCACCAGCCCTTGCGGGCTCTGGCCTCTGTGCAGAGCAGAGCTGGGGCATCCAGAGACCCCTTGGCTTGGGCGGACGAGCACTCAGTGACCCAGCTCCTCTCCTGTGCTGCAGGGAGGCGGAGGAACCGTCGGGGCTCCCGGAGAACGCGGCAGAACCGGCCCCTTGGGAAGGAAGGTTTGTCTGGACAGGGACAGAGCTCCTGGGAGGATGGGCCCCGGCCGGATGCTTGCGTCTCTTCCTCCTGGTCTGCCACTCTGTCCGTTAGCTTAGTCTGTATATCCTGTCTCTGCTGCTCCTCCCTGCTCCAGCTGCCCAGGGACTGCACCTTGCCAGGCGGCGGCGGTGGGTAGGCTGGCTCTCTCCCTTCTGACCCCACTGCCTGATGGGGTACCGATTGCCCTGGCCTTGACACAGCCAGCACACGGAGCTGTGTCCTGTGAGTCGCAGAGCAGCTGGGCAGTGCCCCATGCATTGCGGCATCACACAGAATACACAGTCTTTAAGTCCAGGTGGTGCACACGGAAGCTTTGCTGACGTGGAGCTAGGTCAGCCCGCAGACCCAGTTCTTCTACTGGGGACAGCAGTGTGCCTGGCACGGGCAGCTGAGGTCCTGCCGTGTCATTCCCTGCCAGTCTGAGAGGATAGTGCTTTCCCAGCAAAGTAATGTGTCCTTGTGACCCAGCGTCAGGTGCTGGGTTCCACCTTTCCTGATGCTGTTCCCCGTGTCCGTGTCTCTCAGCCTGCCCCCAGGTCACAGAATGGACAAGCACCCACCTCTCTGGGTTCTCCCCAGGAGCCCATGCATGAATGTTGCAGTAAAAAAACTATGTGTTTATTAATTTAAATCAACACATGACAGCTGGGTGTGTTATGAGGTGTGACGAGCTTGTGTGGGTGTACTGGATAATGACCAAGTCGGGGTAATTCACATTTCTTTTGTTGGGGACCTGTGCCCTCCTCTCCTTAGTCACTTTGAGATAGCAAATAAGTCGTTGTAAACTGCACCGCCACCACAGCACAGGGCGGAACACTAGAGCTCGCCCCTTTCTGCTACGCTTGGTCTCCCTCATCCACCCTTGCCCTTCCGGCCTCCGTGGCCACCACTTGACTCCCTGCTTCCCTGACGTGGCCCTTTCTTTAGCTTCCACAGAGCAGTGGAATGTGCAGCCTTGGTCTCTCTGTGCCTGGCTTAACGCGGTGGAATGGAACCGTCTCATCCAATCCTAAATGGTGCAGTGTGCGTGGCCAGCCACCCTCGGGCCGGCTCTGCGGAAGCACTGGGCCTGGCTCACGGTGAAGCTGCCCCGACTCACAGGGTCTCCCCTTGCTTCTGTGTCTAGGGTGAGCCCGGAGACCCAGGACCCAAGGGAGGAGTGGGGAGCCGCGGCCCTCGTGGGGAGACGGTAAGGTGCCAGGCGCTTGTTGGCGCTGCAGAAAGGGACACAGAAGCAGGCAGATGATGGAAGGATGCTTCTTGTAGCACTGGGGCCGTGACCGAGAGGGTGGCACTGTTCCGGCAGTGTGCTCTGCTGCATTGGTGGGAGAGGTGATAGAGTCCCGTGGTTCCTGTAAGTGCATGTGGAGCTTGCTGAAGCTTGGATGCCTTCCTTTTAGGACCTGTGCTGGATTCCTGGGAGCTAATCTATGAAGAAGTAAATGGCCTTAAGATTGATTTTTTTTTTTTTTTTTTTTTTTTTTGGTACTAGAAATTGAACTCAGGACCTTGCACTTGCCAGGCAGGTGCTGTGCTGCTAAGTTATATACCTGGCCCTCTTGGTTTTTTTGTTTGTTATTTTGAGTCAGGGTCTTGCTATGTAGCCCAGGCTGGCCACAGAATCATAGTGATCCTCCTGCCTCAGCCTCCCAAGCACTGGGATTGCAGCATGCACCTGGATGGAATTGGGTTTGATAAGGGCTCAATCTCTCAGAAACAGTGTCTTTTGAATGAGACATCCTCAGGATAGAAAGTATTCCTACAAAACTCATTTTTGAAAACATTTAAAAACACTCCAAATACAGTAATTTTGTAAGATACATTTCTATGAAAGAAAGAGAAACCTATAGGTCACTGAGAATTCTAACATGAGTCACTATTCCACGACAGCTCCCTAATTGGGTCAGCTTCATCATAATCCTCAAACTTTAACATATTTTCTCATTTCTTGTCTTCAGCTACAGGAAGTTTAAAAAAAATTGATCTGTGCTACTTTCAGTCTCAGATGCAGAGAAAAAAAAATTTAGACTTTAAAATCTATTCACATCCTCGAAGGATATCTCACCCTGATTCTATTTCCAGAAGTTTGGGGGGGCAGTTCTTTAAATGTTGATGTCTATTTAAAATTACGAACTGCCTATGTAGCAGTTTTCCAATATATCTTAGAGAGGTGCAGTACTGGTGCGGATTTTGTGTAAATTCTTATGGTCCTTCGGAGTGATTCATGGTGTCCGTTCTCAGTGTTCCTCATGAGGGCATGGGAAGGGGTGTGCGGAGGAGAGGACGGGCTTGGGGCAGGGGAGAGAGCCCCATGTCCAGACTGCTCCAGGGCAGGAGAGGGTGAGCTCAGCCTCCTGTCTTGGGATGGACTCACCGATGTTAGGGTTGAGGTGTCCGCCAAGATTGCTGCCCACGCTCAGATTCCCTGGCTCAAGGAGATTTCTAGTCTGCATCCAACAGAATCTTTGCCTTTGCAGTTCTTTAGGGGGTGTCGTCTTTAGGGGGTGTCGTTCCTTTAGAACATTCATGGCTCTTTGTATTTACAGCTCCCAGCATCACGCTGCTAAGGGCACCCTGGGCGCCCACCACCTACAGAGAGGGCCCTGCTTACATGCCTGGGGGGTGGGTGGGAGCTGTCCTTGTGCCTGGGTCTGGGAACATTTCGGGGACTCCAGGCTGTCTGTCGGGAAGGCGGGGGGAAGTGCAGAGGCTTTGGCGTCCCCGACGCAGTGACCACTGTCACGTTCTCTTCCCTCCCTCAGGGAGACGACGGGCGAGACGGAGTGGGCAGCGAAGGTCGCAGAGGCAAAAAGGTACGTAGCTGCCCAGGCTTTCCAAAAAGCTCCTCTTGCCAGTAGCTCCGAGGACAACTTCCGGTGTCTTGTAGTATTGGAGAGTGATTTCTTTAAATATTATTATATTTTGGTAATACTCTGTATTGTACTGATGATTCCACAGAGGTTGTTTCTTTTGAAATCAATTTATTTGAGATGATTTTAGATAGGTACCACAAACTGAGTCATTTATGTGTGTCTTTTACAGGGAGAAAGAGGATTCCCGGGGTACCCAGGGCCGAAGGTAAATATTCCCCGGGAGGTGGGACATCGCCGTGCGTGTGGTGGAGTCTGCTGTGCCCGTAACTGGAAACTGGACACCTTCATTCTGGGCCACCCGGGGAAGGCCCAGCCCTCTCTGAGACACTCCCTGTTCTGTCAAATGGAGGTGACAGTACGCAATTGTCACGACACCCACGAGGTTGAAATGGGGCAAGCCTACACGAGAAAGACCTTTGCGAGCTGTAAGATGCCGTCACCTAGGTGACACCATCATCACTGATTCAATAAACTCCAGCTGAATGCAGAAGATGCCTCTGCCGCACTGGCACCCCAGAGAAGCAGCTCGGGGCCCCCTGGGTGCCCTGGCTGACGCCCCCTGGGGCCCTGCCAAGGCCTCCCCTGGACCCTCTGCTGCGGAGTTTACTTGCCACCCCTTGTTTGTCTTGCAGGGTACACCTGGTGAGCCTGGAGTGGACGGAGCACCAGGACCCAAGGGCGTCAGAGGGCGAAGGGTAAGGTCACCTGAGCCTTGATTGAGGTGGTGGCTGGGAGTGCACATGGCGGTGTGGCAAGCCGCCGAGCCCTGGACAAGGAGCCTTCTCCACTACTTGGCCAGTGAGAGCGCAGCATGAGGGAAAGTGTCCCCGAGGCCCAGGCAGGGTCCTCACATCTCGCGGTGGTTATGGCCTGCGGCTGTGCTCCTCAGGGAGTCCTGGAGAGCCCCTTCATTTGGCACGACTCGAGTCACTAGTCCACGGGTCCCGGCACGGCACGGGGAGATGCAGGTCTCAGACCGGGTGCCGGGCGGGAGGCTGTGCTGTCACACTGGCCGAACCATCCACGCGGAGGGGCAGAGGGCTTCGCGGTGCCCATGGGCACCCCCGGCAGATGAGACTCTTCTTCCTTCAGCTGCCTTTCCTTCTGGATTTCTCTCTGTGGACATTCACTAGCAACCCAAAGCTTACCCTGGGTCTTGCTTAGTGAATTGTGGTATAGATAGAGGTAAAGGTTGCTAACACCTGTTTAAAGCTTGTCACACAGTTGAACACTAATTGTCATTGTCTTGTGCATGAGATTGACGGAGATAGTCAAGCTGGGTCATTTACTACTCGAGGGTCCAATTCCAGTTCTAGGGCATTCATTGGTCATCCTGTTTATGGTTGGTCCTACCTTAATTGCCTTCCTGAGAACACAGTTGTGGGGGACTTGCATCCAGGTTGTTGAAGTCATCTGTGTTTAATTTTGAATTTTGTGGGCAAGCGGGCTCCCTTGAAGTGAGAGATTTCTCCTAGAGGTGGGGGACTCTGGGTAGATCCCCTTCCCTCCCCACCACCTGCAGGGCTGAGGGAGTTCCTGCTTCTGTCACAACTGAGCAAGGTTTCTTCTGCCCCTCCAGGGAAATTCAGGACCTCCTGGGATAGTTGGACAGAAAGGAGACCCCGGCTACCCAGGACCATCTGTAAGTGTCCATGCCATTCCAGTTGAGCCCCCGGGGTTGTGGGTGGGGCTGGGTGGTTTGTCCACAGTCTCTGAAAATCCCCCTGCCCACAAAGAATCTGTGGCACATTTTTGTTGTTTTTCTTCCTCCCTCCCTTCCTTCCTGTCTTCCTTCCTTCCTTCCTGTCTTCCTTCCTTCCTTCCTTCCTTCCTTCCTTCCTTCCTTCCTTCCTTCCTTCCTTTCCTTTCTCCTTCTCCTTCTTCCACTTCCCCTTCTTATCCTCTTCCTCCTCCTCCTCCTTCCCTTCTGATATCAGAATGGAGGAGAAAACCTTTTGAGTCTTGGAGCAACGAAAAGCTTCTGGAAAATGCACGCAGGGGCCAGGGATGTAGCCCAGCGGCAGAGCATGTGCTGACCATGTGTGAGGCCCGGGTTTGCTCCCAGCACTGTAAACAGACAACACAAACATTTCATGTGGTGCTCTGTGGTCCTGGGAATATTTAATTCACCTTTAGAATTTCCTGGTAGAGGTTTGTGTAGAGGAGAAACCAGAGAGAGCAAATCTCAATACCCCTTGCCTGTAGCTCGTAGAAGAATAGTTAGGTCCAGTCTGGGTAGGGGCCTGCTTCCTTGGGTCTATAAAATCCCCAAGGTGCTACTGTTTCTTGGCCGAAGACCTGCTGCCCTGGCTTCTGCCGGAGCCGGGTGGTGGGCAGGGCATCCGTGGACCGTGTCTTTGTTTCCTTGACTGTTTCCGCATTGGAAGGGTGAGACTCAAAGGGGAAGGAGCAGGCTGACTCCGGAGCTGGACAATCTCTCCTAATGGGAAAGGATTCCTTTGGCTGAACCAGGGAGAAGAAGCCCGAGTCAGGGTGTGACTGCTGCCTTCAGGCGAGGGGAGACCAGACAGGCAGTGTAGGGAGATGGACTGGGAGGGGTGCTTTCCACACAGAGGTGACAGACAAGGCTTCTGTGGGGGCAGCATGCATGAGACACCCTGCTGTTGGGAGAGGTGGTCAGAGCTCAAGCTCTGATGTGTGATTTACAGTGCATGCCTATAATCCTAGCTTCTGGGAGGCTGAAGCAGGAAGATCCCAAGGTCTAGCCCAGCCTGTGCAATTTAATGCTTTTGTGAGATCCCGTCTCAGTACAAAAAATATGAAGCACTGCTATGTGGCTCAGTGTGGAGCCCGGGTTGTCTCCAGGCCACTCCTCTCATCCAGGCTGTGGGCGACAGAATCGTCCCAAGGCCGCCTTGCTGCCAGTGCTGCGTGGCGTGCACACCGCCACACACTACTCAGCCTCTTCTCGTTGGTTTTACAGGGTTCCAAGGGCAACCGCGGCGACTCCATCGATGTAAGTTGCATGTGTCCTGAGCGACCCGTTGTCTTGTCAGCACTCTGTCTGCTGTCCTTACATGCTCTTCCGTTCTCTTTTAAAGCAATGTGCCCTTATCCAAAGCATCAAGGATAAATGCCGTAAGTACCTGCTCTCTGCTGTCCGGGATGCACGCATTTTCACATTTGACGCCTCTGCACTGTGGACGTGTCGCTCACCCTTTCTTCTGTTTCCTTTGCAGCTTGCTGCTATGGTAAGTTGATCTCTGTGGGTTGGATTTGTCCCGAGAAAAGAAAGGCCCAGAAAGGAAAGACCTTTGTCCCAGGAAAGAAAGACCCTTCCCTGGAAATGAGGCTGGCCTTTGTCACCCCCTTCTTGCAGGGCCCCTGGAGTGCCCCGTCTTCCCTACGGAGCTCGCCTTCGCCCTGGACACTTCGGAGGGCGTCACCCAGGACATCTTCAGCCGCATGCGAGACGTGGTCCTGAGCATCGTGGGCAACCTGACCATCGCCGAGAGCAACTGCCCAAGGGGGGCCCGCGTGGCCCTGGTCACCTACAACAACGAGGTGACCACGGAGATCCGGTTTGCGGACTCCAGGAAGAAGTCGGCCCTGCTGGACAGCATTAAGAACCTCCAGGTGGCCCTGACATCCAAGCAGCAGAGTCTGGAGACCGCCATGTCCTTTGTGGCCAGAAACACGTTCAAGCGTGTCAGGAATGGGTTTCTCATGCGGAAGGTGGCCGTTTTCTTCAGCAACAGGCCCACGAGGGCGACCCCACAGCTGCGCGAGGCTGTGCTCAAGCTGTCAGACGCGGGCATCACACCTCTGTTCCTCACCAGCCAGGAGGACCGGCCGCTCATCAACGCTTTGCAGGTGCAGGCTCTGTGCGCTGTCGCCTGCCCCTGCCCCCTCCCCCAGAGGGCAGGTTCTCAGGCACACGCACGCTCTCCTTGGTGGATGCACGTCCCCAGCTTCTAAAAGGTCCCCACAGGGCCTAGCTGCTGAGGCCGTCTCTTGACCCTCTCTCCTCCCTGCGGCTGTGGCGCTGGTAGGGTCCGGATGCCTGTAACTTCTGCCCTCTCGTTCCCAGCTCTTCCGTTAGTGATGCTCTTTCAGGGGGCCGCACGTCCGGGCGCTGGTGTTGCTTGCTGCTCTGCTCTGTGGCGGGGCCTCTTTACCTCTTCACGAGGACCCGGAAGGTGGGAACAGTCGAGGCTCCTCCCAGGCGGCCTCACGACCTGTGTGTGAGCCCGACCTGGGCGTGTGCCTCCAGGAACAGGTCCTGGAGTTTTCCCTTTAGCCTCAGCTTATGCGTGAGAAGACCCTGAAGTCAGTGGGGCTCATGTGGGGAGGCACCCTGGGCCCCTGACTCTGAGGCCCGCCCTGCTCTTCCCCAGCAGCCCGGGGGAGAATCTCCTTTCAGCGAGGCCCCCGAGGTACCCCAGTGTGCACCTCTGCACAGGCCTCTCCTCAGCTAGTGGATGGTGGGTCTGCAGGGCGGGAGCCCTGGCCCAGAGCGGGACCTTGGCCACCTGTCCACCTGCCCTTGGGAACCACAGAGACATGGCGTCCGTCCCTGCAGCTTCCTCTCCCGTGGGTTGAGGCTGGCATGGGCTGGTCTCCAGTCTCTCCCCTTCTAACCTGGGTATTCTGTGGTTTTATCGCTGCTGTGTCAGCAAGAGGCACACAGGCCATTGTCACTGTTTATTCTGCCAAACCGCAGGCAAGGCCAGGGACAGGAGACCAGGCTCAGGAGCCCAGCTTTGAACTTAGCCTCCCGCGGTGTGCTTCCGGGCAGGGCCCCTCCTGCCACCTTGCCTCGTGAGGGCTGAGAGACCGGAAGGAAGCACGTGTCATTCTGAACGGATTCCTCTGTTCATCCTCCACCCACTGAATGCAGTTATTCCCTAAATGAGTGCCGACTGCTGGCCTCGCGCCGGCCGCTGCGGTGGGCAGGGCTCGCCTGGCCCAGGAGCGATTTCCTCACCTGCACAGCCATTGTGCAGCCGCTTTTATTGCTGAAAACGGCCATCGAGTTCACATCCCCACCACTGGCTGGAGGACACGGGCACTGTGTACACACTGTCTAGCCTAACTCTCCAGAGGAGCCCAATAGGAAGGAGCCACCATCTCCATTTTACAGCCGAGATAATGGAAGCGGAGACAGGTTAAATCAGTTTGCACTGGGCTAGCAGAAAGAGCCAGGTGGGATTTGAGCCCAGTTTAGAACAAATGCTGGTTTCCTTTTACCCCCAGCGCCTCCCCTCCCACCTGCAGCCCCAGGGGCAGGACTGAGCCCTGTGAGGCTGGCGGGTGGGGCTCGGCTTGTCCCCCCGCTGTATGGTCAGCCTAGCGTGTCCTCTTGTTCACCCCAGATCAACAACACGGCGGTGGGGCACGTGCTGGTCCTGCCCGCGAGGAGGGACCTCAACGACTTCCTGAAGAACGTCCTCACGTGCCACGTGTGCTTGGGTAGGGTCTGCTGGCTGGGTTGGGGGGGTGTCTATCCAGCCACACTCATAGAGGATGACCTCTCTAGAGGGACATGAGAGGGAAGGGTTCTGATCTGTCTGGAGAGCTTCACTCACACGGAGGCACAGGGGCTCACGTTTTCCAGTGTGAGTGCCACCTAAGTAGCTTCCACGTTTAAAGTGGACCCTAAAACAGAGTGTCCCACTGACAGGCTCGCTGCATTTTCTAGGCCATGGGGGAGAAGAACGGAGAATTGAAATGTTTGGCTCAGGGACCGTTTAGAACATGTTCCTTCCAATAGTGGCAAAGAACTCGGGCAATGTTTCCTTTCTTATTTTTCAAAAAATTTTACTGATGGATTGCTCGGTGCTGGGGACTGAGCTACACTAGCTTCACACTGAGCTACATCCTCATCCCTTTTTAAAATGTATTTTTATTTCTTTATTCTGATTTTTATTAGTCTATGTCTGCAGCACCTAATGGCTGCATTCCTTGTGGGGTCGGGAAGCACAGAGCACAGCTTCATTCCTTTTATTCCCTTCCCCGCTCTGTCTCTTGGTCCCTTCCCATTTGCAAAAGGCCTCTCTCTCCCTTCCCTATTGTCTGTCTTTTATTTTGCTGTTTAATTTATTTGTACTTCAGGTTTTTCATGGGAGAGAAACCATGTGGTGTTTGAGCTTGTGTGTCTAATTTCTTTCACTTAACATTAAGGTATTAATTTTTTATTTTGAGACAGGGTCTCACTAGCTCACTAAGTTGTCCAGGCTGGGCTCAAACTTGCAATCCTCCTGCTTAAGCCTCCCAGATTACCTCCTCAGCTAGGATTACAGCCATGTACCACCATGCTCAACTTTCTTTTATATTTTTAAATGCCGGTATCCTGGTATAGCATAAAGGTTTCAGTTCACTAGTTTGTTTCATCCAGGGAGTGTCAGGTGATGAAAAGCAAACTCTGGCCACATGTAAACTCATGAGATATAAACAGTCTTCTCTCCTGTGTGGCTGACTTAATGTCCTAGACACTGGACAGGTTTGAGCTGCAGGACACAGAGTAACTTGGCCTCCTGCTTCCTTCTAGACATCTGCAACATTGACCCATCCTGTGGATTTGGCAGCTGGAGGCCTTCCTTCCGGGACAGGAGAGCGGCAGGCAGCAATGCGGACATTGACCTGGCATTCATCTTGGACAGCTCAGAGACGACCAGCCTGTTCCAGTTCAACGAGATGAAGAAGTACATCGGCTACGTGGTCAGGCAGCTGGACCTGAGCCCTGACCCTGGGGCCTCCCAGCACCTTGCCAGGGTGGCCGTGGTGCAGCACACACCCTACGAGTCCCTGGGCAATGCCAGCGTACCGCCCGTGCGGGTGGAGCTGTCCCTGACAGACTACGGCTCCAAGGAGAAGCTGCTGGACTTCCTGGGCCGTGGAATGACGCAGCTGCAGGGAGCCAGGGCCCTGGGCAGCGCCATCGAATACACCATCCAGCACGTGTTTGAGAGTGCGGCAAACCAGCGGGACCTGAAGGTCATGGTGCTGATGCTGACGGGTGAGGTGCGGGACGAGCAGCTGGAGGAGGCCCAGAGAGCCATCCTGCAGGCCAAGTGCAGGGGCTACTTCTTCGTGGTCCTGGGCATTGGCCGGAAGGTGAATGTCAAGGAGACGTATGGCTTTGCCAGCGAGCCCAACGACGTCTTCTACAAACTTGTCGATAAATCCACTGAGCTCAACGAGGAGCCGCTGATGCGCTTCGGGAGGCTTTTACCATCCTTCATTGGCAGTAAGTCCTGCATCACACGTACCCCAGCGGTGGCCTTCGGCTCCGTGCCCCCGGTCCCCGGGGAAAAGATAATCAGTGCGCTGGCGTGAACATGTCTGCTCATTCAGCAGGTCTGTTCGCACCGCCTGTGGCAGAAGTGCTTTCAGGTGCTGGAGTCAGCAGGAAGCACACCAGTAGATATCCACGGCCCTGCTACGCATGAGTTACCCAAATCTGGCCAGGCCCCTCCTAGCCACAAGGCACTGTGCTGTGCCAAGGAAGTTGCGTCAGTCTGGGCTTAGGTCCCAGCCTCACACTTGGACCTTTAGGGTCTTTGCTAATGGGGACCCCCTCCTGGGGCTGCTCCCCGACCCTGGTGGCAAATCCACAGTGCTCTCCAAAGCCCACCCGAGCTCCTGCCCACTGTGGGTGCCCCTCCCCCAGACCCCCGACACTGTCCTTAGGGCTTCTGTCACGTAGCCTGTTGGCCCGTGGTCCCTGCAGACCACACGCAGGTGGGGAGGTGTAGCCCTTTACCTTCCGCAGGGTGTAGGAGTCGGCGCAACTGAGCAATGCGGGAGGTCTATAAAGCATAAAAAACATATCCCTGCTGGATACTTACCAGTCAAGGAAAAGTTGAGGTCCATGAAAAGTGTACTCGTGTTTCTGAAGGTCTGTCCCGCAAAAGACTGAGGGAAAAATGTGGAGCAAATATAAGTTGTAAGTTTATCCAAGGGCATTGCTCCTGTCTTCAGAAGGTTAAAAAGTGTTGTACAACAAAGCACTGGGAAAAAAAACAAAACAAAGCAAAACAAAAAACAAAAATTGGAGAAATATTCAGTGTAATTGGATCATAATGCGATAGCCAGGGGTTGGAGCTTGTTAAACTTTTCACTTACATTTTTTTCTATTTTTGTCTTCGCTCTCATACTGAGTATTAGCTTTAACCTGGTCACTCAAATACCAACAAGTAGGACGTGCTGACTTAAGATGCTTGAGCACTGAGTACCATCCCATTTAAGATTTAAAATCACTGTGCTTGGCTTGTCTGGGAAAGTTAATTCATTTAACAAGTATTCATGGGGTGAGTGAATTTTATATGGTCTGTCTGACTCACGAGTGACTGGTTTTAACACCAGTGTGATTCACATTCAGCTGAAGTATTGTTTTCTCTGTTGCTATCTAGGTGAGAATGCTTTTTACCTGTCCCCAGACATCACGAAGCAGTGTGACTGGTTCCAAGGGGACCAACCAGCAAAGAATGGTGTAAAGTTTGGTCACAAACAAGTGTAAGTGATTATAGTTTTTGTCTCAAAAACTGTAGCGTGAGAGGGAAGGCAGCGATCCTCCAGCCGATCCCGGCCGTATTAAACACAGGGACACTGCCACGTGGAGAATGTGACTTTCTGAGTTCCCCTGGGTCATTCTTAAAGAATCAGCTGTATCAGTTAGTGTTTGCTGCATAACAAAATACCCAAAACTTACTGGCTTACAATAACAACTGTCTTTTACTTTGCAATTCTGTGGGTTTGTAATTCCTGACTGGGCCCTCCAGAGTGGTTCTCCTGGTCTCTCTTGACTCCCTTGTACAAAGGATGATCAAAAAAAATATACAATGAGTGTTTTAAATTTAAAAATGTATTACAATAAAAGATCAATTACCATGAAGCCCCTCAAAATTCTCCCTCTTGCTTCAGACACACCTATCCCATTGTTCTTGCCACTTTCTGAGGCAGTTCTGGAAGTCCTCTTTCATGAGTGTCTTTATGAAGTATGATCAAAAAATGTGGTGAATGCTGCTGCTAAAATGTCATCTAACAGAAAGGCAGGCTTGTAAAAAACATCGTAGTGTCCCCTCCTTCCCCTTATTTACTGGATGTGACACTGTGCAACTTCTAGCTCTTCCCCATGGTCAAAATGACCATGAAAGGTCAACGCTTTGAATCTGTTCAGGGCATCAAGACAGACATGAGAGGGCAACTAAAGACACTCAGGGAAGAGGACTCGCAGAGCTGCTTCAGAAAGTGGCAGGAATGATGGGATGAGTGTGCTTGAAGCAAGGGGAAGTATTTTGAGGGGGATTCATTGTAGTCTGCCTTGTACTGTAGTAATTTTAAAATTTAAACACACGTATTTTTCTATCACACTGTGCATGCTAGTGGTTGGCTGTTTGTGGTGTGGACGGCTGATCTAGGCTGCCCACAGCTATGATGGTTCATCTCTGCTTTATACGTCTCTTGTTCTCCAGTGGGCTGGCCTGGGCTCGTTCAGAGGTGGCCCAGCAGGTCTCCATGAGAGGAGTAGGAATATACAGGTCTCTTCAGACCTAGGCTAGACCTAGCATGCTGGTAACTTCTGTCACATTCTCTCGGCCAAAGCATTTCAGAGGCCCTCCTAGATTTAGGGATGGAGAGCTAGGGTGAGGGAGGATCTGACACATCACACTGTACAGGACACGAGGACAGAGAAGGCTACCTATCGGATGCACTCTATCATCAAGCAGATACCACAAAACTTCAAATGCTAAGTTACTCAGCACATTCTGTTTTCCTTGTGATAAGGAAGTTGATCCAAGTTTGGTGAGTATTCTGGAGGAATAATGAGGTCGGCTGAAGGCTGGAAGAATAGAGCCCATGAGCCAGCTCAGGCAGGACCAGCACGACAGTGCAGTGAGGTGTGACAGAGAGGGAGGAGGGCTCTCTTTGCCTACCCTGGAGGGCAGCCAGGAGTACCCTGAACCCTCACTCTCCAGGGGTCATTGGAGCCCACATCTTTGGGGCAAAGCCCAGAACCTCCACCTCCCAGCAAATCAGGACAGACACACCATAGTATTCTCTTAGGGATAGATTGATGGCACTTTCCATGAGCTCCATTTCTGAGGCCATGCCTGCCTGCACTCTTCTTCCTGGTGGAACATACACACCAATGCCTGTTGGTGCCATTTTGTCACTCCAGCGTCAGCCATTTTAAGAAGATATATTGAGTCCATTTTTGATGTTCCCAGTCTTTATGAAATCCATCCACACCAGGCGTGGTAGATTGTTTGGATGTCTGGCCTCACCTTCCCACTGCAAACCCTTCTCCCTGTCATGCCTTACATCCTTCAGCTTGTGCCTGTGTCCTCAGAGAAAGAGATTCCTGATCTCAGCTGAGTAAGCTGAAAATCACTGCCAAGGTGGCCAGATATCTTTGTAGACAATGTATGTTTCATTTTTAATGGCATTATATTTATATGCCGCTCAGTATCCTTTTTGGAGGCAAAAATTCTAAAAACAAGTTTAACATAGATAATACTGTACCTAGTCAGTAAACCTAGGGCATGTATTTTGCTAAGATAGCAAATGTCACAGAGCTCATGGGGTTGTCTTTGTGTAGTTCAAATAGCATGTGAAAGAAAGCGTGGTAGAAGTAATGTTTAATTTATTTTCACAGAAATGTTCCAAATAATGTTACTTCAAGTCTTACAACCAAGCCAGTGACCACAACGAGGCCAGTGACCACAACGAAACCGGTGACCACCACCACAAAACCAGCAACTATTGTAAATCTGCCACCTGCTAAGCCGGCTGCTGCAAACCCAGCTGCCACAAAGCCCCTGGCTGCAAACCCAGCTGCCACAAAGCCCCTGGCTGCAAACCCAGCTGCCACAAAGCCCCTGGCTGCAAACCCGGCTGCCACAAAACCCGTAGTTGCAAATCCGGCTGCCACAAAGCCCCTGGCTGGCAACCCAGCTGCCACAAAGCCCGTAGCTGCAAACCCGGCTGCCACAAAGCCCCTGGCTGCAAACCCAGCTGCCACAAAGCCCGTAGCTGCAAATCCGGCTGCCACAAAGCCTGTGGCTATGAACCCAGCTGCTACAAAGCCTGTAGCTGCCCAGCCTGTGGCAACGAACACAATCACAAGCAGACCTGCAGCAGTGGCGAAGCCAGTGGCTGCAGTGAAGCCTGCGGCAGCAAAGCCGGCAGCTGTGAGACCCCCGCCCCCTCCAGCAAAGCCAGCTTCCACCAAGCCGGAGGCCCCCAGGACACAAGCCAAAGCAGCTGCTGCCACCAAGCTAGAGGCTTTCCGGCCACAGGCCAAACCAGCAGCCCTCAAGCCAGCCGCTGCTAATCCCATGGGTAAGATGCCCTTCAAGATTCCTGCTTAGACAGCAGTAGAAATATGGCCATCACACTGGGTTTTGAACACCTGCATGGTTCATTCTAAAAGATACTGGCCCCAGAATGGCGTTGGCCGGACATTGCTTTTTTCTGTGCTAGAAAGCAGTCTTTATTTTATGACTCCTTTGAGGCAGGTGAGGCTCCAGCCCCTGGTGCCTCCTTCCTGGCCAGCCTGATCCTTGGCATGGAGGTTGAACTCTCCATTCTCTCTGGGATGTCAGTCTGTCCAGCCTACCTCCCCTGGAAACCCAGTTGTCTGAGCCTAGGTGGTGAGGTTCTAGGTGAAGTAGGTGTGGACCTCATACAGGGCATGAGAGGGAAAGAATGGGCCTGTTGCTGGTTCTCAGGCTTCAAAGCAGGTGTTTTTGTGCTTGGTTTCTGGAACCAGACACCCTTGTCCCCAGATGATGACTCAAAAAGATCTGGATGGACCCTCTGTAATCATAAGCTTTGTTCTATGCAGAGCACCAAGCTGCTTACTGTGGCAACGTTAGGGTATTTAGTCCAGCAAACTAAGTTGGAGCCCAGACTGTCAGCCCTTTCTCCTGGCTTGTGTGCCCACTCTGGCTGTGAGGAAAACATTAGCAGATACCAGAAACAGGTGGATTAATGAGGCCCAGGACACAATATTCCATCACTTCCTCAGGGAAGATGTTAGAGGGTTTCAAGCTCCAAAGGATGCTGAGGGAAGATAGTATGCACTCACGAAAAGGTGGAAATTGTCTGCCTGTCATGGGCAGAGAGAAGACACAGATCCCTTTAGAAGAATGTCACATCATGACCCAATATGTCAGAACTTCATATATTTTAAATTACAGGGCCCATTTTGCACTGAACCCTTAGCTGATAGGCATGTGGGACTGCATTTTCAGGCAGGTGCTGTGCCACTGAGCTACAACCCTGGCGGATTTTGCATTTTCAGAGTATGTCCTTAATAGCAAGATTTTCAGTGGGAAAAAAAGATGGTATGAATCCTCTTGATGACTACTGAGATCTTAAATTGCTATGAATTTCACATTTCATGCATGTGGATAGATAACAGGACCAATACTTGTCAGGAGCTTGAACAAGAAATTAGCTGCTCACCCAAATTTTGGCCCACTGTCCGTTGACGTCTCTGGGTGGGTGGACGTCATTTTTATCTGTGCATTCTGCTCTGATCTGTCTTTCAGTGAAGCCTGTGCCTGAAGTCCAGGTGTCTGAGGTCACAGAGAACAGCGCCAGACTCCGCTGGGAGAGGCCTGAGCCCTCCAGCTCTTACTTTTATGACCTTACTGTCACCTCAGCTCATGACCAGTCCCTGGTTCTCAGACAGAACCTCACGGTCACTGAGCGTGTCATTGGCGGCCTGCGGGCGGGACAGACGTACTATGTGGCGGTGGTCTGCTACCTGAGGTCGCAGGTCCGAGCCGTCTTCCGCGGCACCTTCAGCACGAGTGAGTTTGTGGCCCGTTCTGATTTCCATGGGGACTGTCAGTGGGACACAGCGGAAACAGTTCCTTGTTGAATCTATTCCGAAGTACCCCCAACACTCAAAAATAAAAATAAGCACTTTGGGTGCTTCGGTTGCACCCTAGCTTTAGAAAACAAATGGAATGGAAGACGGGGTCCAGGGGTGCTCCTGTGACATGGCTTTTGGGCCACACCAGGTGGCACCTGGGGAAACAGGACCTGGTGGGTTCTCTGCTGCCCCCACCTGTCCTCAGGGAGTGGAAAGCACCAGCCGAGCCTCTCCAGCCTTCCCTGACCTCTCACACAGCCCCCTCGCTCTGTCTGAGTGCTGGGAGACCAGTGCAGGACCCATCGAGTCCTCTTGTTCTGTTTCCTTAGTGCAGCAGAAGAGCTCGTGTAGGAGGTGGGAGGGTCCGGTCAGCAGCTCAGGGATTTCCTCCACTTGCCGTTAACACATGGCTCCGTTGTGCAGACTGCAACATAACTAGTGTGCACAGGGGCTCCTTGGATCTTTGTTTCCATGACTCACTCTTAGAGGAGAGGTTCACGATGAAGTGCAAACTTGTGTCAGTAACTGAGTCCTTGGCCTTCGGTTTCTGATTTACTTACTAGCTACACTGTTTTTCTTTTATAGAGAAAACTCAGCCTCCACCTCCACCACCAGCAAGGCCAGCTTCTAGTGCAAGCATCAATCTCATGGTGAAAACAGAGCACTTGCCTTTTACGGAAACAGGTGAGTTGCAAAAATATGAGGTCCACTGACGGCCCTGAGAAAGGGGTCTTCAGGAATTCTAACGCTTTGGAGGTACTGATTCTGGATCATCTGCCTGGGTCTGATTCTCAGGGGAGATTCCCACAGGGGCTCTGTGGTTTCACTCTGCGTACTCCCAGGTGTCAGTGGAGGTGGGCCCTCCCTGTCCTCAGACTCTGAGGGGTATTTGATGGGAGTCGCTGCAAGGTTCCTGGCAGAACCCAGACATCTGCTAGTTGCTCCCTCTGAGCTCCTACTGAGGCGAGAGCTGATCTGTGGTCTGTGGAGCTGCAGAGAGTAGGGTTTCATCCACCCAGTGATTTAACCTACTAAGAAACTGCTTAGGAGGATGAGGGCAACCGAGATTGGAACCATGCACTGCAGAGGTTTGGGCCTGGCCCGGGGCGCTCTGGCTCCTGTTCTCCGGCTTTGTCTCTTATCCCCTCCTGCGTGCCTTTGCCCTGGGCCGGCACAGGTTTCACGTGCAGTTCCTGGCTGCTGAGAAGTGACTTGGCCACTGGCAGCTGTGACCTCGTCTGGTCCAGCGATGGGACTCTGGGAGACCGGGCTGCCTTCAGCCAGTGGAATTCTAGCCTGGCCTCTTTGTCCTGTAGACTGATCACCGGAGTGGTCACCGTGTTTGGCTTAACAGTGCTTAGCAAAAGAGTTCATACTCACGTAACAGAGATCAAAATTCCACAAGGACTTGAGAAATAATATTGTTGTACTGACCTCCAGGCAAAGGTTTCTGCTTACTATGGGGAAAGTGCCACTCTTTGCTGGGTTGGCCCCAGTTAGGAGGAGGAAAGCATCTCTCATTACAGTGCTGATTCTCATGATTAATTATGATAAAAGACACTGACAGAGGCTTTTGTACTGTGCCAGATTAAGAGCGGCCATATTTAGTATGTGGGCAAAAGCATATGCTGACTGTGCATTGTCAGAGGCAACAGCACTTTATTTTTTGAGCTAATGTGTACACATTCCTCATTTACTCTTTCCCCCGTAAGCTTTTACATGATGTTTCTTGGTCTGTCTCACCCTTTCTGTGGAGCCCACCTTCCGTTCCGTTTCCATTTAACTCGGAGTCCACGGTTCTGAGTGTTTTCTAACTCCACGTCTTTGTTCCTTTGGGGCCTCCGGGGAGTGGAGGCTTTTTGCTTCTTTTAGATTGCTGCACTGCTTTCTACCGTGTCCGTGGAAGGTACCTGCTGCCTATGGGTCTGAAAGCCCCTCACAGACCACCTTCCACTTGGACCTCGGCAATCTAGGAAGAAGAGAACCACACTGGTGCCAGAACTGTTGCACCATCGATCTTTAATGAGAGCAAGCAAGGGGCCTGCTTATAGAACTGAAAACTCTTTAGTTGTAGTTTGCCTTTGGAGACAAACCTAGGAATTGGTCTATGTAAGAGACAGCTATGTGGTTTTCAAATTTCTCTTCTAATAGGCAATTCTTTCCTCAGTGTAAGTTTATGGAAAGGAGCCAGAACTTCATGGTAGATTGCATAAATCAATTTTACCAGCTTAGGGACTGTATAAAAAGTCTTGCCAAAAACTCTTCATGTGGTGACTGTCAGCTCAAACTCAAAACCTGGAGGTAGGCATGTGCAACAAGGGTGTGGTGAGGGGAGGAGAACTTGAGTTTGACCCTTTTGATATCTGCCCACGAGCAGCTCTGAGTCACATCAGAGGACTGTGGGCCTTTGTCCCTGCCCAGGGGACCCTGCAGTCCCCAGCCCTTCCTGATCCAGTCCTAGAAGGCTGCCCCACCCGAGGACTGGCCTCAAAGAACACACAGCTTTCCCCCGAAGATGAGGGCCGGGACAGCTGGGTGCTCACATCTGTGCAACTGTCTCCACTCGCTGGCTCACTTCACTCCTCACAGTGTGGGAAATATGAAATTTTCAGGAAATTTTGCTTCCTTGAGAGCATATGTGTGGAATAACTGGTGGGCGGCAAGATCTGGGGAATTTCTGGTTCTCTTATGTGTGGGCCAGAGGAACAAGAATGTCTAAACACGGTTTCGTTACCATAAACAGCACGATCCTGAAGCACGAGTCTGGTAGGCCGCTCTGTTCTTCCATGTGGAGTTGCAAGTTTCAGGAAGAGGGAGGTGGTTTCCACGGAGACCTTTGACACGCATCTCTGTGGTCAGAGGAGAGTTTGAAATTGGGCTTGTTTCTCCATCAAAGCTCCAGGTCCTTTGACACAGATGAAGCTAAAACCTGTCTCTTTCACTTTGGTGGGTAGACATGTCCAAACGCAGGGTGTGCATGGTCTGCTAGTTCACGTGTGTGTGTGTGCGTGCGCGTGTGTGTGTGTGTGTGTGCACACGCGTGTGTATGTGCTCACGTACGCTGCCCAGCGATTCAAGGCTGGATGAGGTACAGAGTCCCTGTTTTCCTTAAGGGCAAAGCCCTGCACAGCTTGTCTCTGTAGCCCCCACACTGACAAAGCGGCTCTCTGCCTGGAGAAGGAACTTACCACACGTCGGCTCAGTGAACACTGCGTGTGCCCACATTTGCGAGACAGTTCTGCAGCTCTTTTTGAATTGAGTTGATTGAATATTTACTTTAAAATGCTTGATGATCAAAGTGGATAACAGAAGAGGAGGGCAGTCAGGCTCCCACTTTCCCGTTCTCCCCTCTTGCCTTCCTCTTTGTCATTTTAACATATTTTCTTAGGGAGGGGTTAAAATATTTTAATGATATTTATATGTCTAGAGATAGAGGAGTGGCAACTAGAAACTATTTCTTAAATAACCTTAAAAACATACTAACTGCATTCTTAGTTCTGGTGTGCATAGCCTGCACCCAACTGTCAATTACTGTAATATGCGGCATTGCTTGGAAGATGTGTTTCCTAGAGAAAAGTCTCTACCAGAGAGAAACTGATCTAGACTGTGATTCTAGGTGCAGGCTGATGACCGCGTTCCCTCCTTCTGTCTCCTAGGCTGCCATTAGCATGTCAAGAATAAATAAAGAGGAGAAGATTAGTGAACACACAGCCAAACCCTGCGGGGTTGCACCCAGAGGGGCCACCTCGTTTTAGAGGGAAGACGCAACTTCCATGACCTGAACCTCAGTGTTCCAGGGAAAAGTCCGGGTTAATCTCCACAAGGCCCGGCCATCTCCCTCTGCACTGCGGGATGCTGTAATCATTTCTGCCTTAGTAGGGCTTTGTAGGCACTTGCAGGTGTAGCTAAGGAGGAGCCCCCAAAGCAGTGGGTCTTGGAAGTCAGGATGGTGCGGGCTTAAAACTGAAAGGTATCCTAAGAAGAGGAGCTCTCCCACTTCCATGCCTTAGAAACAGACTCCTGGAGTTCTGGCTTTGCAGTTTGGGGCCTCATGTGCATTTGTCCGCACTGACAGTGCCCTCTCACCCCGCCGGCCAATCTCAGTCGGAATTCCTGTTGGAATAAGGGTGGAAGGGCAGGAGCAGTGGTTTGGCTCTGGTGAGCTCGGGTGCACACTGAAGGAGGCTGGAGAGACCAATGGTCAGGGACCAGCGCATCTGCTGTGATGCCCCCCACCGCGGGTGTGCTGGGTCCGGGCGGACTTGAGACTGCGTGAGAAAAGCCTGGGGAATGTGACCTGAGACGGCCCACCGTGACCCAGAACAAACGTGGGCCAGCTGGGGCAGGTGCTGGGTGACCTGAAGAAGGATGAGGCGTTGCACCCCAGCCTGCCTTCTAAGTCCCCTCCGTGATGTTCCTTGAGAGTGGGCATTCCCCAGCCGCGGCACGCTGGGCGGGAAGGAGGTGGTTTTTGTACGTCGTCCTCATCTCCTCATGGCTCCCTTGGGTCTTCAAAGGTCCTTGACGGGGCTGCTGGGATTGAAAGGGTCTGAAGGAAGCTGTCACAGTTGTGGAGCCACCAGCCCTCCCTACAGGGCCCAGTGAGCCTGGGTCTTGGTCCCGGGTCCCACGTGCCTTGGAGTCCGGTCCAGCACAGCCACCCCAGCTGTGATCAGCAAAGCAGCACCCGGGTTTCCCTTCCTTTTTGGTGCCAGTCAGAACTGCAGGTGCCCACCTTCTCTGTGGGCAGACACAGCCCACCCTGCGGGGTTTCAGGGCCAAAGGGACAGCAGCTCCTCCTGTGGGGAGTTGGAAGATTCAGGCCGCCGAGCCGCTCCTGCAGACATGCAGCATTATGTGCCGCTGATAACGTTTTGTTGCAGAAGGCTTAGGGCTTCCAGGCGTTCAGATAAGGCCGGCATCTGCACCTCTCTTTCCCAGCACAGCCAGAAAGCTCTGCAAACACAGGCCCGCACGTGTAGACTGTCAAGTTCCCCCTGCAGACGTGGTGGGGACCCCATGTTCCTGCTCGGCCCCCTGCAGAAATGTGCATCGGGACAGAGACTTCCTGCCAGAGGGAGGGTGCCCCTCGGTGTCCCCGAGAGTCTGCTGTGGGGGGCGTTACTGTCCTGGGTTTCAGTGACTTCCACGCTTGCTCCTGCTGGTACTTGTCAAAGCTGGCCGGTGGGGCGGGCACTCGGCTCCGCACAGGAGCTGCTGCTTCCGCTTCACCTTTAACTTTCCGTCTCTCCGGCTTGTCAGGAACGGTGCCAGCTTATTTTTGAATTATACTTTGAAGGAATTTAAATGCCGTTTTGCCAAGGAGCGAAAATAATGAAAAAGCTCCGTAGTGTCAAAATTCCGACAGAGACAGAGGACAGAGAGTGGACTCCATTTTCAGTGATCCGACAGGACAGCTTACCCTCAGGGCTCCGAGCGTGATTCATGAATGCCTTTCATACACAGGGCGTGTTTATCCCTCACAAGCACACGTGCTTATTCCGTCCGTGCATCAGCGAGGACGCTGAGGCTCAGGCGGGAGGAGGGGCTTTCCTCCGAGAACCGCTTGTCCTCCCGGCCGGAGTGCTGCGGGCCCCAGAGCTGGGAGTGACGCGGATGGTCTAACTGGGCTCTGTCCTCCGCTTGTATTTACAGATATATGTAAGCTGCCCAAAGACGACGGGACGTGCAGGGACTTTGTGCTAAAGTGGTACTATGACGTGAAGACAGAAAGCTGTGCGAGGTTCTGGTACGGCGGGTGTGGCGGAAACGAGAACAGATTTCACTCGCAGCACGAATGTGAAAAGGTTTGCCCCTCCGGTGAGTGCTTCTCCTTCACGCTTGCGGCTGTTGTAAGTTAAGACAGGAAATCCAGCTCAGAGATTCACCTTTGAAAAATGTTTGAACCCCAACGACCCTGATACAGCTGAAAAAGAAGATAAATTGCATCCACAGACAGGAAGACGTTCAAATAAAACACATGAAAAAAGATAAAATTTCACACAAAAAACCCACATGACATTACTTTTTTGAATTGTCTTTCTGTTTCCTCAAAACATACATTTGTGATAATGAAGAAACACATGGCCGACTACTTAACATCCTTCAGAAATGTTACCAAGTTCTGGTTATTCACAAACTATCACACCAAATGTAATTATTAGAAAAATAAGATGATGGCCAGTTATAGACAGCACTGAAGATAAGTACCTGCATATGTTCATCTCTAGAGAGTTCTGCTCCCTATAAATAATAATATTGATATCAGGGCCTCCAGTACCTCTATGGTATTGGGCAACACTATGGGTGACAGAATAAAAGCCGACTGGCTCGGAGCCTGTGGGCCGCTCCAGAGGGGAGAAGGCAGTTTGCCTGGGGCTGGCAGATCCTGCAGGGCTGGGGGGAACTCAGGCTGCACAAAGCCCCAGCCCAGGCCCACGTGGTCACGGGAGCCAGTGCCGGTGATGAGCAGAGAGGGACAAAGGCGTGCAGACCAGGGGTGTGGCTGGGTCACTACACATGCGCTGCGCTTCGTGGTCACTAACGTGACTATTTCCTGTCCTCTCCCCTCCCCTGCCTCTAGGCTCAGTGCTCCCCAAACCCGGAGTCATCAATGTGATGGGAACCTAGGCTGGCTGGCCGCAATACATACCTCTGGAGAAGAAGGAGGCAGCCATTCGTAACTCTTCATCTTCGTCTTCGTAGAAGGTCCGGGTAGATTCCCTGGCTCTGTGCCGTTTCATGCTTTGATTGACACTCGGACCCAGAGGAAGCCTTCTGCCGCACGACCTGTCAATTTGGTGCTAAACGTGTCTGTGGAGCCCTGGCTCTCTGTCTCCAGGCAGTTACATCGTATACTTTGAATGTTGTGTAGTAGTTAGCCACTGCTGGTGTGTATGTGAACACCCCTGGAAGCCCCGGCGCCGTCTGGAGTTTGTGTTGCGCCTGTTCCAGGCAACGCAAGGTCTAGAAAATTGCCCCTGACGTCCAGCACCTCTATATACTTCCGCTTGGTTCATCCCCCTTACTTAAGCGCAACTTTAGATGGAGGAACGAGAGTCCCACACTTTCACCCCCACACCCAGTTTCCTGGGTGAGCCTTTGGGCCGATTTTCTTTTTCCAAATTCTCTAGCAAATAATCTGGTGAGGGGGAAGCAGCATCCCTTGACCAGTGTGCACTGTTGGGACCAACGCCTTAATTGAAGAATTCAAAGAAAGCCATAAGAGAGAATATTTTTGGCATTCCTCTAATTTTTTTTTCTTTTGAGTGAGGGGGATGGGGTTTAATTTTAATTTTAAAATTTTTAGGAAATTTATACAAAGAAACTTTTTAATAAAGTATATTGGAAAGTGGAGTGCGTTTGTCATTCTTGGTGGTCTTGTTTCTGTAGAGGCCCTAGGCTGGGGATGGTGGCCGAGCTCTGGCCTCTGGTCCTGGCATTGGCATTGCCCTGTGGTTTCAGTGGACAGGCAGAGACATCTGTGGGACAGGTGCCTGGAGCCAGTGGAGCCCAGCGCCCTTCTGTCATGGTCCAGCCTCCTGTGCCAGAGCCCAGCAGCCCCAGGACAAGTGGAGCCTGGAGCCCTTCTTGTCTCATGAGCAGGACTGGCTTCTGCTCTTGCCCCAACCCCAGAGCCCCAGCCTCCCTCCCTGTCCCCGTCTCTGCAGTACTTGTTCCCAGCTCACAATGGCTTTGTCCTGGCTCCCCACCCCTTCCATCTCCGCTCGTGCCTTTCCCTGCCCCATCTCTGAAGACCCATTTTTATGGCTGAAGCCAGCACAGTGGAGCCACAAAGGGCTCATAATGGTTCTGAATTCCCTTCACATCTGTCTTTGAGCTAGGAGGGAAGTGGATGCTTGGGGACTTCCTCAGTGACACCTGTCTCAAAGCACCACACCCCACAGGCCCAGTGCCCAGGTCAGCTTGTCTGGGGCCTCCCTCAAGCTGCGCACATGCGGGCCAAGCTCATTCCACTGGAGCAAAGGACGTTTGTGGTGAGGCCAAGGAGGGAGCCTTGGGGTGCAGCTGATGAGGTGGAAAATGGAAGAAGTCTATGGGGCTGTGAGGGCTGGGATGAAGTGCCTCAAACCAGGCAGTGTAAATCAGCAGTGGTGTATGCTCTTACAGCTTTCACGGCTGTCTTCCACCATGAAGGTATCGGCAGAGCTGTGCTTCCCCAAGACACAGGAAAGCACCCCTCCTTGTCTCTGCCTACTTGCTGGTGGTGCCTGCCATCTTGGGCCTCTTTGGCTTGCAGCTGTCTCCCACCAGCCTCGGTCTCAGCCATCCCACATCTGTGTCTTCTCTCTGTATCTTGTTCTCCACGTCCTTCTCATGAGGACACCAGTCATACTGGAGGAGGCCATACGCAAGTATAAGGACACATTTTGAGATCCTGGGATCAGGGCTTTCCTGTCTCTTTTCTTGGTCAGTGACACTTCTCAACCCCAGGATGCAACCCTAGCATTTTCCGTACCTGCTCCGACCACCACCATGTTGATCAACCACTCCCACTAGGGAGCAGCTCCAGTGATGAGACCTCAGCTGGAATCTGTCATCTCCTAGACATCCTCATTATTAGAATGGTCACTATTGGATTTCAGGCCTGGGTCCTGTTCATCTTAAAATTTAAATCTCAAATTCCATTCAAAACCTCTCTATTGTTAAACTTGACGAGGCTCAACTCGAGGTCCAGCCTGGGGTTTGGATGGAAGAATCCATGGCCTGACCTCTGATGCCTCCTGCTGGTGCTCCAGGCCTGCAGAGATCCTGAACTTTGCTGAGGTCTGCTGCTCTCTTTCCCTGCTCCCCTGCCCTTGGCTATGCCAACTTCCTAATGGGGTATGTGCTGCTTCTCTGGAGGAATCTGTGGGGACCCGGTCTGGGGGATCTGGCTGTTAGTGAATTTCTTCCTCTTTCTCCATAGCTCCTTATAAGGGAAATCCACCCTACAGATTCTTGTGCTAGGTCCCTTTATCAGTAGACCACTGCACATAAGAGGTTGGTTCAAGTCTAGCTCCTTCTTGGGTCACTAATTCATAGGAAACTCACATGGCCTTGGCACACCGACTGGCTCCCCCTTCTGCTCACCCACTGCGTTCCTTCTGCAGGCCCTGTGGTCGGGTGTGCGGCCAGTGGAGAGCTGTCTCCAGCCCTTGACTCAGTGGTAGTGGGGAGGAATGAGTCAGACCATTGCACCGTTCTCCAACTTTGAGTGTTTTCTTAAGGTTTTGTAGGGGCCTGGCTTTGGGGAAAGGACCAGATGAATGCCCATCCGTTGTCCATGGGACATGAGGGGAAGTATGTGGCCTCTTTGCAGAAGTACTGCTTGGCCTTTACAAGGCCACCAGGGCCTTTCACCTTGGTCCTCTTCCATCTCAGCAGCAACGTGGTAGACTTAGTTTAGTGCTCGGAGCTGTGGCTCTTGGTGGTCAGCTCTGGGAAACCAGCCTACCAGGCTCCCAACACCAACCCTTATAGGGACTTAGAGAGCAGCGAGCTCTGGGCCTAGTGATGGGCTGGGCCCTGTGTTTCTCCTAGTGATTTCCTTACCAGAGATATAAAATGGATATACTGTTGTCATGACCTGGTGTTATTTCTGAGTTATCCTCAAAGCCCCTAGGACTAAGGATTTAGGTACAAGTGGTTTATTTGGGAGGCAAAGGAAATCACTGAGCAGCTGGGAGTGGAGAGTGAGACAGGAAGGGAAGGACATCATTAAGTGTGGGCTGTTGGTTCCCACAGGGGGCCCAGGCACACACACATTTGCACACACACTGGCTATGGGGTCTGGCGTGTCGGAGAATGTTCTTGGAAAAGCCACCCATGCTCAAATGTGGACCTCAGGAGCACAGAAAAGTGGTCAAACCCAAAGTGTGTGGCTAGGACCCCAATATTTGTGACATTAGGGGTCTGTTTCAGGGATGCTACAAATAAGCTGGGTGAGTTCACTCACTTGCATTTGCTCCCAAGACAGGGCCCTGTGTTCTTGTCCTGCCTCCTGTTGCCAGGATGCCCACCTCACTGCTCCAGTTCAGGTCACTCCATCTGTCCACTGTCTCTCTTTCCTGTCCAAGGGCTCCTCAAGGCTGCTGGGAAAATCATACCCGGGGCCTCATCCAAGACTGGACAATAGGAGATGACAGAAGCCTACGTGAGTGACTGGTGACCAGCCGTGTCCCAGCACACATGGGAGGAGATAAGGGACATAGGCAGTGGATGACGGTGGGCCGTATGGACCTGAGACAGCCAGTGAGAGGTGCGGTGTTCAGGGCTCTGAGAAACTGTGCAGTGTGCTGAGCACCCAGAGCAGGAATAGACTGCTGAGATGATCAGAGAATAGAGCTGTGATGTCCCAGAGGAATGGTTTCATGGGAATCATATCTGGTGCCCACGAGAAGGGTGTGATGGAGATCCAGGAGTGAAAGTTGGCCTTCATAACCAGAGCAAGCACCAAGAATGTGGACGAAGAGGGTTTGTGGAACTGGGAGCGAGGGCATAACACAGCTCTTCTCTACAGTTTCAGGTCTTCAGGGCAAACAGGGGCTGGCAGGAGCTGGAGGACCTCAGGGTCTCGCATGAGAGGGAGGCACTGTGATTCCTGCTTTTGCTGGCAGGAAATGAGGACTTTCCTCAACTGGGGGACGAGGTGGGTTGCAGGTAAACTCAAATGCCAACATGGGGCTGGTGGCTATGGCTCTAAAGTGACACTGGTCTTCTTAGCCGGATGATTTTTCACCAGTGGCTTTGGTGCAGGCCCAAGGAAAGCAGCAGACAGTGGTGGCTCTTAGATACCAGGAGGAGACTCTGTGGCAGTGCAGGTGGTGGTAGGAGATTGCAGGGACTGGTGCCTTATAGTCCAGGATGTGACTTGGACAAGAATGACTGAGTTGGAGTATAGGGACAGTTGTTAGCACTGAGAAAGCCCCAGAACTGAGAGGGTAGAGGTGAGTAGACTGTCTTTATGAAGACTGAGACTCCAGAAAAGGGTAGTTGGTAAAGAAGGGGGACAGGGAGGTGGTAGATGAGAAGTAGTGGGTGGGGCTGTGCTGGACAGCAGGGGTTTCAAGATCGTAGTGGGTTTGAAGAAGGACAAGAGGTGGCTTGGAAACAGAAATGGTATAAAGAAGGCATCCATCCCCATGCTGGGTCTTTTGGTATGGCGTGGCATGACCGAGAACACAGCTGCCACTGAAGAGGGCCACAAAGCCCTGCCCGATGGTTGGGGTTGGGTAGGGAAAGGCGGTGAGGCAGGGTTACGCAGCAAGTTCTCACTGGAAATGGCCCCAGGACCGGGTTTAACATCTTTCTCACTCTCTGCAGGGCCACTGGAGACTGGCGTCTGATCATTTCCTGTCTGACCTTCACCGCGGTCCAGCACAGACACCTTAACCCTGTCCACCACATAGTCCACTGTTGCTGTCTGCATGTCCCTGGTAACTACTGCTGTCCCTCCTTCAGGCCCTCTGCTTTAAGCATCCTCCTTCTGAGTGACCTCTGTTCCTGGAGTGTTAAGGGATGCTAACCCAACTCCAAGAGGGGCTTCTGCAACTGAAGGAAGAGGTCCTCTGGCTACTTCTTCCTCAGGGGGGAATCATGCTGCTCTTCCATTTTTTTTTTTTTTGTCATTTTATCTGATGTGAATCAGGAACTAATTTTATCCCCAAACTAGATTGATAAATATGAGGGAAAGGCTAGGGCTAAACCAGCTTCACTTCCCTCAGGTATGAGTGTTTACCTGAGCTCAGCCTCCTTTCTTACCCCTTACCCTCTGTGAAGGAAGGCAGGACAGCCCCACATGGCATTATAACTCTGCGTCTGCCACACATTTGTGACAAATGGATATCTTGCTGAAGGCTTATAAAGAAAAATCCTCTATGATTTGAATTCATACAAATGCTTTTAAACAGGTTTTCTTATCCCTAGAGTTCCTCTCCTCCAATAGTTACCTCAAATCTCTCTCTTCTTCCCTCTTCCAGCTGCTCACCATCTCCATCCCCACAAGGAGTTCTGACCTGACCCTGGACTTGGGCACTTCACTTAGGATAAAGTCCCTGAGCAATGGTGGGTGGTGGCCATCTTGCTTCCTGGCAAGCCATCTTGCTTCCTGGCAGCCATCTTGTTTCCTGGATTTCTCTTGCGTCTTACATGGTGCATATGGAATTTGTTCAACCTATCAGATTTTTAAAAATAAGCTTTACATTCAATAATATGTAATTTTTGAAACACTTTACATACAAATAAAGACATTTATGTATATGTACTGATTGATGAGTTTCCACAGATGAATCTTTTTCTAATTTTTTTATTTTAGAGAA